AACTAGTTGGCCTATTTAAGCTTAATTTCTTTTTGTGAGTTTATTTTTTTTTTTTTTTTTTTTTTTTTTTTTTTTTGTCTAGAGTCTCTTCCAGCAGCAGCAACACATGGGCTTCCAAGGTCATTTCTGGGACTAATGTGCTGCTTTTCCATTTTCTATTTTAGGGGACCCTGAGATGTTCAGGAGGTGATTACTTTGCCTATTGTACTCACCTTCAAACAATATCTAAAATTTAACATGATCAGATGCAGTCTTTAGCTGCTGCTGCTGGCAAAGATAAGCAAAGCTGTACACCAATTAGAGTGGTCAAGACAGATTTAAATCAGTAATATACTGTTACGATAGAGAAGAGGGTCACGTGTGAACTGAACTCAACTTTGATTTGTACAGAGGTGACTGGGCATTTTAAAGGGAGAATGAGGGAGTAGAAAGGGAGGTGTGCAGGGACTCATGTAGAGTCAGGGAAGTGAAAAATACAAAGGGTGGTCAGAGTAAATGTTGATTAGGCCAGCTGTGTCTTGTTAGCTGGCAATTGTCAGTGTTAAGATTCTGCCCTCCCACAGAGACTGGGAGACAGAGTCCCTAGCCTTCCTGATGATTACATTTTAAAGTTATGGCTTTCAGGTCCTTGAGAAAGACGCTCCAGAATTGTAGGAAACACATATGCATCTCAAGCCCTTTTTAGTAAATGCTCTAAGAAAGGGAAGTCGGGGGCCTATTATCAGGTATTGACTAGAACAAAGTAAACTCTTTTGGCAACCTTAAGCTTTCTCAGGCAGGCACTTTAAGGGGTCCTCCTAGGGATGTGGCCTTGACCTGTTAGAAACTGTTAGTGTTTGTTTAAGTATTTTAATGTGGGTATAGGGAAGTGGATGAAATAATTTGTGTTGAGAATCTGTAGTTTTTGTAGACTAAGGTTGAGTTCTAGTGGAGAAGGGGGCTCAGAGGAGCCTAGTTAGAGTTTGATCAAGGAGAGACTATTTCTCACTGAATAATTTTAAGACATGCTATTTTATTTTTAAAAAATTATTTGCCAAAGCCTCCATTTCTTCATCTGTAAATAGGAATATTAGCAGCTCATACAGCTCTTGGGAACATCTAGTAGATGTTCAGTAGAACATCCACTGTCCAGTAGAAATATAATGCAAGCTTCACGTCATTATCAATGTCCTCATAGCCACATTTTTTAAAAAGTAGCAGTAAAAAATGTTAATTTAATTTACCTCATATCAAAATATTTCAACATATAATCAACATTTTTAAATTATTAGGATCTTTTACGTTCTTGTTTTCGTCCTAATTCTTTGCTATCCGGTGTATTTTCCACTTACAGCACCTCATTTCGGACCAGCCACATTTTAAGCGTTCAACCGCCACCCGTGGCTCCTGCATTGGACAGCACAGGTCCAGACAAGATAAGCAGACAAGCCTTGCTGATGCAGGCGGGGAGGCGGGTCTTAGCCAGAAGGGGCGGAGCTTCCTGGAAAGCGTTTTGGGCCTCATCGGTTCCCGTAGGAGAGCGCCGCTCGTGGCAACGCCACGTCTTTTGCGGCGGCTGTAAAAGCATTAGTTGGGCCTTGGGCCGGCTCCCGGCGACCATGGCCTTTACGCTGTACTCGCTGCTGCAGGCGGCCCTGCTCTGCGTCAATGCCATCGCCGTGCTGCACGAGGAGCGCTTTCTCAAGAACAGTGAGTGGGGCCGTGGGGCGGGACCGAGGTGGCGGCGGCAGAGCCCCTGGGGCGCGGACCCGAGCCGGGCTGCGAGAGGGGACCACTGGGGCGGGGACCGACGAGCCGCCGAGGTCTTGGCTCTTGGGGGTCTTTCCTCGCAGGAGGAAGCCGATTCACTTTTGTCTCACCAGGTTTGAATTCAACTGCAGGGTAACGATTGTTCAATGGACGCCCACTGTGTCGGGCCCTGGGGATGGGGATGGGGCGGGGATACGGAGATGTGCCAGCGAAGCCCCTGTCTGCAGCTAGTTTAGGTTAGTAATTTAATGCACTTCTCGGTGACCACTTTTAATGGTCAAAAAACCTGGGTCTGAGTTTTCAGTTTAAGAGGAAGGGGCGTAGCTCATTTGGAGCCTAGGTAATTAGGAGAATGAACTGATGATGGAGGGCCACGATGGGCTTTGGGGCTAAGAGGAAAGGGAAAGTGTTGGGATTATCACGACATTCAGCCACCCACGTTCCAAGAAAAGTTTATTCAGCACAGATTTTGGGATGCCTGCGATGTGCCAGGAACTGTGTTAGAGTCTAAGAATACAAAGATGAAGACACAAGTTATGCCAACCAGGACCTCGCAATCCAGCAATTTCCATGACATCTTTGGGTAGGCCGCCTCTTGCTGTACTTGGCAAAATCGAGGCAGGATACTGCGTGATACATATCATTTGTTACAGGATACCACATAGATCTGTGAATCACTGAAACTCAAACCCATCAGCAAGGTTGATTCATTTCTTCCTTCAGAAGAGATTTATTGAGCACAAATTGTGTGCCAGGCCCATGAATTAAGAGCTGGGGATACGGAAGTTACCCTGCCCTCCTAATGGAAATTAACCTAAATAAAATTGAACAAGTAGCAATAACAAGGATGCAGAATATTATGAAAGAGAAGTGAATCTGAAAGCTTCTTAGAGAAAGTGTGTCTAACCTGAAATCTGATAAGTGAGTAAATATTAACTAGATGGAGGTGAAGGGTTGGGAGAAGTTGGGAGGGTAAGGAGTAAGAGCTGGTGTGAAGGGGAAAGCAAGGTCTTAAGCAGGGCAGTGACATGACCAGATCTGTGTTATTTGCAAGCTCCTTCAGGCTACAGTACGGAGAACAGATTGGAAGAGGTACAAGAGTGGATGTGGGAAGCACACCATTCTAAACAGGGCAAGTTGAGATGGTGGGCATACTATCAGTTGAGTGAGCATAACAACAACAACAACAATAATAACTAATACTTAACACCGTGTGCCAGGATCTGCATCAAGTGGTTTATGTATATTAATGTGTGTAACCCTGTGAGATAGATACTGTCCTCATCCCTGCTTTACAGATGTGGAACCTGAAGCACAAAAGAGAGTAGGTAACTTCTAAGATCACACAGCTGGAAAGTGGCAGACCTGGGATTCAAACATAGACTCGTACTCAAGAGTCCATCTCTTTACCGCTATACATACAGAAAAGTACAAGGGATCATGTGGGTTGAATTTTGTCCTTCCCAAAAAGGTATATTGAAGTCCTAACCCTTGGTACCAGTGAATGTGACCTTATGTTGAAATAGGGTCTCTGCAGGTGTAATCAAGTTAAGATGATGTCACACTGGATTGGGATAGGCCCTAGATCCAATAAGGCGTCCATATAAGGAGAGAGAAATACAGAGACACACAGATACACACGGGGGAAGAAGCCTGTGTGACAAGAGGCAGAGATTGGAGTGATACAGCTACAAGCAAACAGTGCCAAGGATTGCCAGGAACCATGAGAAGCTAGGAGACAGGCATGGACGAGATTATCCCTCAGAGCCCCCAGGAACCAGTTCTGCCAACAGCTTGCTTTCAGAGTTCTAGCCTCCAGAACAGTGAGAAAATTAGTTTCTGTTGTGTTAAGCCACCCAGTTTGTGCTGCTTTGTTATGGGAGGCCTATGAAACTTAGAAATCAGAAGATATTTTAAAGGTAGAAAAGGCAAATTTTTACTGTTTGGACATTGGGAATGAGAAAGAAAGGAAAAAGTCAAAGATCTCTATTGGTTTTCTAGCTTAAACAACTGAGTAAGGGGTAGTACCTTTATTGAGTTAGAGAGTACTGGAGGGAAATTGGGAGATGGGTGGGTGGATAAGAAGGTAAAGAGATAGTGAAATATGTTTTGGACATTAGAGTTTGAGATTGCATCTGAGATTGTGATTACATCTACGAGATAGGCAAGGAGAGATGTGGAATAGTCTATCGACTTAAATCCTTAGAACAAAGCAAGAACCAGAGTGGAGAATGAACTTTGAGTTTGTCAACCACAGATGATAAATGAAACCATGTGAAAGAGGTGAAATTGCTCAGAGAAAGAAGAGCACAAAGAGACCTGGTGACCAGGTCAGCCCTAGAATCTCTTCCAGTACTTAATGTTTCGGTAGGGACGGGAGAGCTGACAAAAATTGATGAGTGAGCAAAACAGAGAGATGGAAAAATCTAGGTAGTGGGGGTTACACCGAAGCGAAGGAGTGTTTAAAGAAGAGATGGTACAACAGTGGAATGTTCTGAGAAGCCAAGTAAGGGAAGGACTGAAAAGTGTCCGGAGGATTCAGGGTAATAGAGGTCATTGGTGATTTTACAAGAGCAGTTATAGCAGTGGGTAAAATCCAGATTGGAATGGGTTGAGAAGTAAGTGGAAAGTGACAAAATGAGACAGCAAGATGTCTACCACTAAATTGGAGGAAATGAAGAAAAGTTAGCTGGAAGGGGATGCCAGGATGTGTTTTGTGGTGGTGGTTTTGTTTTTAGATAGGAGAGACTTGTCTCAGCAATGACAATGAGAACTAGAAAGGTCTCTTCAACAATCCAGTTGCATGAGGAAAATGGAGATGGCGTGACCATGAGGCAAATATACAAAATATACGAAAGACAAAAAAAGGAGAAAGGGAGATGTAAGGGAGATACACGTATGCAGTGTGTATACCTTGATTGAATCCTGGTTCAAACATAGCAACTGTAAAAGACATTTGGGGAACATTTGATGAAATTTGAATATGGACTGTATACTAGATAATACTAAGGAATCACGGTAAATTTTGTTAGTGTAGTAAAGGTATTATGGTTATTTAGGAAGTATTCAGAAAAAAGATGAAGTATAACAATTATTAAAACAATGTTAGATATGTTTTAAAACTTCCATAATTAAAGGTTAAAAAAAAGAATTACTACTGACCTTAGAGAAATGAAGAGGATTCTATTTTTCTTTTGAATACTGTGAACAGCTATATGCCAACATAGTAGATGACTTAGATGAAATGGACAGATTCCTGGGAAGGGACAGATTATTGCATTGACTTAAGAAGAAATAGGAAATCTGATTAGACCTATAACATGTAAAGAAATTGAGTTAATAATTTTAGAACTTCCAACAAAGAAAAGCCCAAGCTTCAATGCTGGATTCTAACAAACATGTAAAGAAGGCTTGCTTCATACCAATTCTTTATAAACTCTCCCCCAAAATAGGAGGGAGTACTTCCCAACTCATGCCATGAGGCCACTATTAAACCAGATATGAAAACCAGACAGAGATGTTACGAGAAAAGAAACTATAGACCAGTATCTGTTATGAATATAACAAATTCTTAACAAAATACTGGCAAACTAAACCAAGTGAGATTTACCCAGGGAATGCAGGGTTGACTTAACACTTGAAAATCAATTAATGTAATAAATCGTATTAGTCAAATAAACAAAATCACGTGATCATCACAGTAGATGCAGAAAAATATTAAGAGTTACCATGTGACCCAGTGATCACTCTTAGGTGTAGCCAGAGTAATGAAAACAAACATCCACATATAAAAACGTGAATGTTCATAACAGCTAAAAAAAGTGGAAACAACCCAAATGTCCATCAACTAACTGATGAATATAGATGACTTTAGTATGTGGTAGATCCATAGTATGTAACACTATCAATAAGAATGAAAGAAATATTGATACATGCTACATGGGTGAACCTTTAAATTATACTAAGTGAAGAAGCTAGTCATTAAAGACCACATATGATTTCATTCATATGAAATGTCCAGGATAGGCAATTATATAGAAACAAAGCAGGTTCGCGGTTGCTTAGTGCTAGTGGGGTTCTGAGGGAATGGGAAGTAGTTGCTAATGGGTACAGGGTTTCTTTTGGGGTGATAAAAATGTTCTAAAATTGAGTGTGGTGATGATTGCACAACTCTGTGAACATAACGTTAAACCATTGTATACTTTAAGTGTGTGAACTCTATGGTAGGTGAATTGTATCTTAATAAAACTGTTTTTTAAAAACCACACATTTTAAAAAAATTACACAGACTATTATTTATTATATCCAGTGCTAATTATGAGTGATACAAAAAAACATGAGACAGTGTATTAGTCAGCTCGGGCTGCCAAAACAAAATATCAGTAAGCAAAGTGAAATCTTGTTTCCTGATACTTGGGTCTTTCATGTATAAAATAAAGACTTGTTCTCTGTCTTCAAGTTTAAGGGTTAACATGTCAGGAATTAATTAAGCCCTGTAGTCATATTGAGATAAAAAAAATAATGTACTCATATGAGATACGACAGGTGGACCTGAAATGAGGACAAGAGAAGGACAAATTGTAGAAATGAGGACATGTAAGTCTTTAGAAGAATGTGTAAGGCAATGAAAAAAGAACTAACAGGTAAAGGTAAAGAAATAATGATTTATAATATCAGGAAAATGATATAGAAGAAAGTGAAAGACTCATTTACAGAAAATAAGTGGGATAGTTGGCTAAATTCCTCACCTCAGAACTGAGAAATGAAGAATAATGACCAAGGACAGGGGTCGGCAAACTGTGGCTCGCGAGCCACATGCGGTTCTTTGGGTACGTTCTAGCTCAAAAATTTGCCGACTCCTGGAAGAGCCAATCCTGTCCCTCACAACAATTTAAAAATTATTCGAGAGCCATAAATATATTTTTACATAATCACCATTATGTGAATAATATCCTTTAAAAGTTCTATAAATGAAACTATGATAGTTTTTTTTTCATTTTCAATTTTACTTCAGAGCCACATGTATGTACCCAAAGAGCCGCATGTGGCTCACGAGCCACAGTTTGCCAACCCCTGGCAGCTCTTTCGTCTTAAAAGTTTGCCAACCCCTGATCAAGGATAAGAAAAGGTGTGCCCTTGCTGGCAGGATCGAGTATGCTCTGAAGGCCTAACCAAGCTGAACAGATTAAGGTTAAAATTTTCCCCATGTGATACAGATAGTGAATCTCAGTTACCATGTCTTTATACTGAGAATTACATTGGGTTTTATATATTCCGAATTGAGTCAGTTCATTATTCAACTTGACACTGTGCCTTGGTTGTCTTTTTTTAGTTCTGACTTGAAAAATGTTTTGTTAGTTTTAAAAAGGAGAAAAAATCAATTAGGGTGTCATAATGGTCACCTTTACTGAATTAAATGCCATGAAATAATTTATTAGACTGTAGTTTATTTTATAAAACCAAAGTGGAAATGAAATGAGTTTTTGCTGCTTATCAAAAGTAAAAAATATACTCTAATGTATTTAACTTAGTATTGTTTTTACTTTTATGTCATGACTTTATATTTTATGTCTTTAACAAAGGCTTGAGATAATCTTTTAGGACATGACTAATGAGGGAGCAAGGCGAATGCATAATAAATTTTAACACAGCTAATCATCTTTATATTATGCAGTTGGTTGGGGAACAGACCAGGGAATTGGCGGATTCGGAGAGGAGCCAGGAATTAAATCTCAGCTAATGAACCTTATCCGATCTGTAAGAACCGTGATGAGAGGTAAGAAGAAAAACTAGTAGAGCACTCTTAAGTTTTTGTGGTTTGATTTACGTAGCAAAGCTTTCGCGTGTGAATACTATCAAATACCATCTTTGTTGTGGAATTTTTTTGCTCTCTTTTACCTGGCTTTATTACTTAGAAATTATTGGTTTCTTTCATAGTTTGCCTCTTTCTTCTATCTAAGCCAGTTGATGTAAATGGAATGCTTGGTGGTATAATCTGTTTGTATGTTACCTGTCAGAGTTGAAAGCCAGTGATGTTCTTGCCTTTTGGAAACTCCGTTGCTTCCAGGTAGTAAAGTCATTTAGAGTCCTGTGAGGCTTTCAAGAGAAAAATAAAAGTCCCATATCGGCTATTGTATTAGAAAATATTTTAGAGCAACTCAAGAAAAAAGAGTTCAAACCTTTTATTTAAAACCATTAAAATTAGGGTCTCTCTCTCTCTCTGTCTCTCTGCCTCTATTTAGCTGCTTTAATCACAACTTTGGATAGAATGATAAGTTCATGCTTAATGATGAAGCTATGGAATCTTCTTTGCACTGTATTTCTCCCATCCAAGTACTAACCAGGCCCAACCCTGCTTAGCTTCCGAGATCACACGAGATTAGGCGCGTTCAGGGTGATCTTGCCGTAGACTACACTGTATGTCTAATGTCAAATGTCACTGGCAGCCATAAAGTTCTACTTCTGCCTGAGTCCATTGTGTTTCTGTGTTCCCTGAGCAACACTGGCACTATCCACAGATGTTTTCGTATTGATCTAGTTGTATCAATGTGATCTTTATCCCCAATCACACAAGCCCTCTTTAAAATGGGTTTTATGATCCAGTGCATGTTTGAATGCTCCTTTTATAAGTATTTGCAACATGAATATGATGACAGATTGTTGAGGATTTCCATCCTTCCGGGATGCTAGTGACTGTGACTTAGTTTTTTTCTGATAGTTTCTTGATAGTAACAAACTATTTTTTTTCTTTACAGTGCCATTGATAATAGTAAACTCAGTCGTAATTATATTACTTTTACTATTTGGTTAAAGATCATTGCGGGAAATGGAGACTGAGAAGAACAGATGTCAGCAGAAGTTATTACTTCGATCCCTTTTGAAATATGCATATCCTAGCTGGCTGTCGTTGGACTTGACAAAAATATAAACCTGACAATAAAACCAGAGACCCTATTTATCTGATTTTTTAAAATGTCATACTTAGAGTTTAATTACGAAAAGATCAGATCATCAGAGGCGGTAACTATCCAGGATTGGAATACATTAGATTGCTGACTGTTAATAAAAGTTCATGGTATGGTAAAGATTGTTAAAAGGGTACAGGACTGTCATTTCTGTGTTTTTAGAGCTTTTTCTCTCTCTTCTCAGGGATGAATTTTTTTTCCAAGTTTTGAAATTCCTTGTAACTTAGCTATATGTGAGTGATTATCCTCCTAGATAAAATTTAAAGGATATTTTTAAAGTAATTACATATAAAATGGTAAGTAGGTAATTTGGATAATTTTATTTTGAACTCTTTGGATAGCTTGTCTGTATTATTGTCTTGGCTATGAAAAAATTCCAATTTACAGTAACTGTGGAGGAGCAGTACTCTCTGATTTCAGGGAGAATTCTGAATTTGTAAGTCAGATAGTCACATGATGATTCTGTTTTTGTTTTAAGTTCTTTTCATGAATTTGTTATTTTACTAATTGGCCTGAATGATGAGACCTGCAAGATCAATCCTAAACAGTCACAATTAAACTAAGACGACTTTATTGTGAAGCATTTACCTCTCCCAAAATTATCACATGTTGTAATTTCTTGGAGTAGCACATTAAGGGGTGTGATTCTGAATTCTTCATTCTGTCTGTCAGTAGGGCATTCATGCTGGATAAGTTGATTTTTGCTTTGTTTTTATGTTTTAGACCATCCCATATTTGCTCATCCCATAATACAGGTTTTTTTTGCAGAAAGATTAAAACTATAAATGGTTTTTCTGGAAATTGTCAGTTATATTTTAAAGGGGGGTGGAATGGCATCTTTGTTTATAGGAGAACATTTGTAAATAAAGTTAATTTTTCAAGTCAATCACTTGTTTTTTGTACCTTAGTATATACCTGTCAGTGTTAATGAATTATCATTTTGTGTCTAATACTTCTTATATATATTCTTTGCTATAAAATCACTGAGCACAGATTTAATGAAAGTAAACAGTCACAATCCATTTTTTCTTCAATGAATTGAATTGCTGGCATACATCAAGAAGACTCATAAGCAACTTTTATTCTATGACTTAAAATAAAAGTTCTACTTCAAAAACTTTGGAGCAGGTATTGAATGCCTGTTGGCCATCCCTGAGTTAGAGATGGATTATCTCTGGGCCACGGGCTTGCAAATGAACCAAAGAAATGTACCAGGGATTCGTAGTTAATTACTTGGCTCATGTGGGTAATATATTTGGCACTTACAGGCAGTGCTCTTAACAAAGAGCTGATGCATGAGTCTGAGTTTCAGCCACTGAGCAGATTCAAAAGCAGCAGTTAATTGAGGGCACTCCCATTTCTCCACAGCCATACAGAATTTCTAACAGGAAGAAAGTGAGACCTTCTCCTGATGCCATTTTCATGTAAGACATTACAACACACCTTCATGCTCATTTAGTGGCAGGATACTGTTCAAGTTCACACTCCACTGGGGAGCAGTCACAGCAGGGCAGGATCAGAGTATTTTGTAGCAGAGCAGTTCCGAGAAAACTGAAGCACTGAACATCAAAGTAGTTCATCTCTGGAGGCCACTTACATTTCTAGCTTTAACGTGCCTGAAAGGAGGTCTTGTGCAAGCTCTCACAGGCTAACCCTGGTTTCCCCAGAGCAGTTGTGATTTGGTAACCATAGTATCGTATTTTAGTAGATAGTAACTTAAGTCCCAGTTGCCTGCACACATCCTCCCTCTTAGCCATTCTCAGGATTAACAATTTGTGATCCTTCTGGACACCAAATATCCATCATGGTTGTGGTCCTCTGTATTCTGACCCTGCATCTATATGCCTGTGACCTGTCATGGAGGATCTTGACTATAAATATTAACCAAACTCATACTCTAATCCTTAATCAAGTACACTGGTTTTCAAACTTTGTTAACAGCAGAACCAGATTCTCAAAGGAGTAATAATAGTAATGTAATGCTGCAGTATCTGAAACAGGTAAGAGCAGTTCCATTTACTTTTAGTTGAAGCAATGATGGGGCCCAAAGGCCCACTATTCAGCCTCCACATTCCTCTTGTCAAGCTTTCTAAGGTAACTTCCACAAAACCCTAAGTTTTCAAACACATGGTTAAAAAATATGTCCTAAAATTCCTAGCTTTAGATAGAGTAGGCATGGTGATTTGTGCTCTATAGGTATATGTAATCATTTGTGCATGTATGTGTATGTATTCATAAAATGACCTGAAAGTAATGTATTTGAGTAAAGAGTAGGAATGATATGTCTAATATGCCAAGAAGAACCTTTTTATCAAATGACTTGAATAAACCTCCTAAGACCTCAGTTGTTTTTGGTTGCTTCATCTGTAAAATTGGTCAATAACTTGTGTTATGTATCTTTTCCAGATTCTAGATGTACTTCAACCAAAGAGATGTTCTGAAGTAAAATGTTTTGATAAAATAAATCACTTTCTCATTGACTTAACAGTTTCAAAGTTATTACCAATAATAAAATTTTTATACCAAGCAAAATGGAATTGTTTTTTGCTAAAATTTTCCTCGGCCCTGGTTGGTCATGAGACGTCAGATATTGTGAAAACATTCTGTGTAAGGACCTGGGTCACATAGTGGGCAATGCCCAAGGGTATTAATGATCAAGATAAGTTTTGGAATCCTGCTCTTTTTGTTTCAGTTCTGATACTGCGTTCTTCATGTCTCCATCTTTTTCTTTCCCAAATCAGCCCCTCGCTTTTGAGGTCCCATCCCTAATTTACTCATTTTGCTGCTTGGCAAGCAAAGCCATTTGAGTCTTTTGATAAGGAGGAAGACATTAGTCCTCTTGCATTATTCCACATCATAGTGAATGTCACGACACCATCTGTTATACTGTCCAGTTGCCCAAACCTGTAACCTAGTAATTACCTTGATGCCTTCCTCTCCCTCACCCTCAGTCTAATCTATCACCAAGTTCTGGCTATTTTACCTCCTTTAAAGCTCTTGAAATTGTGTTTTTTGCTTTGTTTCCACACAGTTAAAGCATCACTCTTGTAACCCTGCAGTTGCTTCTTATCTGGTCTCACATACATTTTGGCATCTATCCCATCCACTCTCCACAGTGCAGCTAGAGTAAACATTTAGGAAAAAATGCATGTCTTAATAGTACCCGCTTGCTTACAACCCTTCCGTGGTGGTTTAATCTGGTCAAAAACAGGTTCCTCGCTCTCAAGAGGCAACTACGAACAGGTTCCGTTTCCTTCAACCAAGTAGGCCCTCACAGAGAACTTAGACTTAAGTGTGACTAAGATAAAAAACAACCTCCAGGCCCAGTGGAGAAGAAAAGCAGAGGGTCCTTAGTCCAGGGAACAGAAAGGGTTATAGCTTGCAAAATGGCTGACTGCAGCACTGGACGGGGGATATTGGATGGTGTTCAAGCAGCATGAGTCTCCAGTCAAGGGCAGAACAACAGTTTGGTCAAAGGGTTCCAATATGTGTAAACCAGAGTGTGTATTCTCTTATTGTCAGCTTGCTCCGGAAAGTTTTTCATTTAGTCATTTTCATAGGCAGTGCATAAGATTACCATCTGCACTCTAATTTGGGAGACAGACTCCCAAAGTGTGTGGGAGCGGGGCAGTGAGGGAGGTGGTTCTCTGTATCCCAAGATACTGCTTCCCTTGAGATGATAGGCAAGGCCTGTGGCAGCACTCTAATGAGAGGCAGGGTGGGTGGAGAACGACGGTGTAAGTTTTGGGGATAGCTGATGCAGGAAAGGGGACACCACCAGAGGTAGTGGTTAATAGTGCCAGATGCTCTTCAAGTAGCAAAGCAGGAAATGACCTCAGAGATTGGGTGTTTCAAGGACAGTATGTAGGAGATGACTTCTGAGTTACTCCTCGAGAGTGGGGAAGAAGCGGAGAGAGGGAGGGTTGCAGCAAAGAAAGTTAATAAAAATTGGTTCAACAGTGGTGCTGTGGAATGGGAAACAGCTACAGGGCAAAGGCAGTTTTTGTTTTTCCTCTTGCATCTAAGCCCAGCAGGTCGCGCCCTTGATGCAGTGGGTCTTAAGAACAACTTTTCGTTCTCCTCGATGGTAGTAAAAGACCAGGAGTAGACCTCGTAATGGACTTCCGAGACTGGGAAGGAATCCTGGGCAGACGGGGCGGAGATGGACGGGGAGAAGATGGACGGGGAGAGGCGGGACTTCCGGTGCGGTCCTGGGCCCAGTTTCCGGCGTCAACCTGGCAGCTGCGAGGAAGCTGCTGATGGTGTAACAGTGCCGACTTTCCTGTTAGCGGGGCTCTTGCTGAGGACGGCGTGCGGAGTGGGGTGAGGAGCCGTTCTGGGACTGGCGATCGCCCGCCTGTCTGGAGGCTGCACTTCTTTGTGAGAGGGCTCGGGCACTTACTGTTTCCGTCTCTAGGCTCCCCACTCCCGGGACACGGACCAACCCGTGCGCGTGTTCCGTGAGGACTGTCCCACCCCTCCGACGGACACCACCCTCTGGGTCGCGGCGCTACCACGCGTGCGCCGAGAGGGGCTCTAGGCGCTAGGCGCTTCGATTGGGCCCTGGGTGCGCTCTGATGTTGGTTGCCAGAGGCTGGTCGCGACTCCAAGGCGTTGGCGGTTCTTCTGAACGTGCCCTTGGGCTGTATTTCGAAGTGGCGTCCCTTCCTGCCAGTCTGGCGTTTGCCAGGCCCTGGAACTTGGGCTGGGGCAGAGTGCAGTGACAATCCTGAGGCCCCTTCCCACCCAGGAGGTGGCGGGGATCGCTATTAGTGCTGAAAGGTTCTTGTTCTTGGATCCTCCCAGTGATGGATACCTGGATCCGTGAGCTTACTTAATTCAGAAGTTTATTGAGCGCTAAATAGTACAGTGGAAAAGGCAACCCAGCCCCTTGCCTCACAGTGCTCAACAGTTGGGACAGTGATAAATGTAATAATGGGAGCTTGCTGGGCGATCCTGGCCCAGCCCTGGTTGAAAAGGAGTTGGACTCAGGAATGCCAGAGGAAATGATGCTCATCTGAGACTCAAGGATAAAGGAGCTAGCCAGGGGAGGAGAAAGGCTAGGAATATAGAATTCAGGGAGCAAAAATGGTTCCAGACGGAAGTCCAGCGATGAAGGAGGTAAAGAATAGGACGACTGGTGCCCTGGACCTTTGGCGCGGGAGTGTAGACATGAGTTGACGAGGTAAACCTGGGCTCTGCACACCAGTGTTCATTGTTCAGGCTTTACCCTGAGGGCAGTGGGGAGCCACTGTAAGATTTTTAAGTGAGGAGTAATTGAATAATAACGTTATTTACTGAGTGATAGTGTAGTTCTAGACTTTTCCACTGGAAGCGTGCAGGAAAGAAAAGATAATGTTTACTCCCCAGGGGGTCCAGGAGGCATATTCTGAACGGCCTCCACCTCTCAGGAGAAAATTTTTATTGAAATTTCTTGTTTTATTTTAAACACTTATGCAAACTTTCAGTGTATGCCACAATAGATCCATATTTTGGTATAAAGTATTTTATCAAATCCTCAAGTTATACTAATGCCTTAGGACATTGCATCATATTTATCCTGTGCTTTTTGTAGCCCTTGCTCATCCATCATGTGCTCTCCCCTTCTTTTTCCCTTGCCCCCCCCCCCCGCCAATAAATAATCCATCCTTTCTGTGGAGCACTGTTCACAATACATTTTATTTTTTTCAGGCCTCCTATCAACCATTAGGGGTGGGTGTTACTCTCTTTACTTTAATAGTGAAGAAATTGAGGTGGGAGGTTAAGAAAATTGCCCAAGTTCATACAGCTAGTGAGTCGAGGTTCAAATGCAGGCATGTATAACTCCTTAGTTCTTGTCCTTCACCACTGCACCATTGCATTTCAGGGAATGGATTTGGGGCTGGAAATAGAAGATTCAAAGCACAGAGGACATTTAGGAAGTTGTTGAACTAAGCTAGAGGAGAGGTGATGATTCCAAAACTAAGGTTTAGTAACAATGAAGAGAGAAGAGTGGATTCAAGACTGTAAAGAAGGTAGAACTGACATGATTTGGCAATTGACTGAATGGGAGGAAGGAGTGGAAGAGCCTGGTGGGTACATCTGGATTGATGATGCCATCATTCACTCATAAGGATCTCAGGAAAAAGCAGCTTTGAGGGCAACTGGGATTTGTTGGATTGAGATGCCCTTGGGATATTCAAGGGGAGATGTTTTCTAAAGTATCTTTCAAGAGTTCATTTTAGGATGAGAATTTACTTTGCATCGCATATGTACCAGTATCAATTGTTTATGACTCTTCTAAGGTATATCCCACATGGTTTGTTCAAACTATGGGAGATGGTGAGACATCAACCCAAGATAAACAAAGATGGACTACCTTTGAAGCTTTTATAGTTTTTCTGGGCAGTGATACTAATATTTTAAAATTACATTTTTTTTTGGAAAGAAATATTTTTTGTAATATTGAATACCTTTTCCCCCCTTTTTTACTGAGATATAATTGACATAACATACTATATAGTTTCAGGTGTACAACAAAATGATTAATATTTGTGTACATTGGGAAATGATCACCATGTGGGTGTAATTAACATGTCACCATACATAGTTATAAAAAATTTTTTCTTTTGATGAGAACTTTGAAGATCTACTCTTAGCAACTTTCAGATATGCAATATAGTATATTAACTATAGTCAACATGTTTTTGGCCTCCTTCACCCATTTCTCCCACCCACCACCCCCTACGCTGACAACCACCAATCTGTTCGCTGTATCTAAGAACTTAGAGTTTTATTTTTTTTTTAGATTCCATATATAAGAAGTTCATAAGTATCATGCAATTACATTTGATTAAACACTAACTTGTATTTCACATAACATAAAGTTTCATACAAGAAAAGAGATCATGGCAGAAGTGGTCAGGACCTGTAGTGGGGCTAACAGAAGAAGTATATTTTGAGATTTGAGTGGGACACCTCAATTTTGTCTAGGCCTTAGTCAGTCACTCTTAGATATGTAATGTTCCAGAAGGTCATCTTAGAGTTTAAATGTATGTTTTGTGAAAATGATGAAAGCAGCAACATAGGCTTTTTAAATGGTTTGGCAACATTAAGCTTTTGTGATGCTTCAATAAGAATTAAAATTATCAGTATTTATTATGACCATTTACTGGCTCCAGTTAGACAGTTTTTTTTAAACATCACACTCCTTTTGTTGTTTTTCCTGTCTTGTTTATATTTTGTAAAGCCTTCAGAGTTAGTGTTTTTTATTGAATATGAGATGTCTATCACAAAAGTTAGATTTTGAGAGAAGCAATTGTACGTTCCTTTATGTAAAAACAGAATGCTTTGTCTTTATTTTGTGTAGCCTTATTTTTTGTAGTGAAGTATATTTTAAGTTAAAGAATCCTTTACCTACCTGTTACACATCCAAATACAGTCTCTAGGAAGAGTCTGGTCTTTTGACTAACAAATCATTTTCCCCTCTCAGGCAGGCAATAGTTGATGCTATTGTTGATGTAATCCTCCATTTCAAGGTCAAAAAGTTTAGAAATAGAATAACATATGAGAACTGTTACAAAAGAGAGGATGTTGCAATTTAACCTTGATTAACCAAAACTTTTAATACCATTTTTTTTTTGCCTCTGCGCTCTTCTCCCCACCCTAAGCAGGTACATTATAAAAGACAAACAGAACCAGGGATTTATTTAAAAATCAAAATATTTTGGGGATGGAGGTTGTTACACGAGAAATGACTGTCTAAAATATAACAAGACTTTTTTATTATGAAATATGTCATCTACACAAGAGTATAGAAAGCACATATGTAAGTTTTTAGTAGTTTTAATAAAATAAGAAAATTATATACTCACTGTCTAGGTCAAGAGGACCTTAGAGTCAGTCTCCCTTTGCGTTCTCCTGGTTTGCATCTCTTTCTCATCCTCTTGAAGAATCACTATTCCAACCCTTGTGAATCATTCATTCCCTTGCTTCTCTTCGAAGTTGTATTACCTATGCATGCATCCCTACTTTTGAACACTGTAATATGAAACCATACTGTATGTAGTCTCTTGTGACTTGCTTCTTTTGCTCTATAGTAGATTTCTGAGAGTTATCTTGGATGATGTAACTAGTTCATTTCCACTGCTTTTTGTATTTGTTTAGAATATACCACAATTTATATACCCATAATGCCAATGAGGGACATTTGTATTGTTTCCAGTTTCTGGCTATTACAAACAGTTCTACTGTGGCCATTTTTGTTCATGTCTAATGGTATCATGTGAAAGAATCTCTTGGGTATAATACCTAGGAGTGGAACTGCTGGGTTGTAGAGTATGGTGATTCTAAACTGGTTTCCAGAATGATTGTACTGGTTTATTCATTCACCAGCATTTGGGATTTCTTGTTGAAAACCTTTGATATTTTCAAGCTTAAATTTTGCCATTGTGTTGGTTGTTGCAGTGATCTCATTCTGCTTTAAATTTGCATTTTCCTGATGACCAGTGAGTTTTGAACACCTGCATTCATTTATTTGCTATTCATATTTGTTCTTTTGTAAAGGATATGTTGAGATTTTATGCCATTTTTCCACTGGGTTGTTTGTCTTAATATTTATAGTTTATATTTCCTGGATTCTGGTCCTTTCTCACATGTGTTAGAAAATTTTTTTTCACTTTTTATATTTTTACTCTCTGCCTTTCTAGTTCTTTTAAAATATAGTTGAATTTATCTGTCTTTTCCTTTATGGTTTGTGCTTTTTATATCTTGTTTAAGAGAGCCATTCCTATCTTCAAGTCATTCTTGAAGATATTCCCCTATCTAAAAGTTTTACAGCTTTGCCTTAACATGTGGTTGTTTAATCTACCTGGAAAAAAAGTTGTGTATGGTGTGACATGGGAGTCCACTTTCATTTTTTTCTCCTGTGGATATTTATTGTTCTTTAGTGCAATTTTATTGACCACTTGATTCTTTCTTCACTGATCTGAAATGCTACCTCTAATGTATCAAGGTTCTACATATAGGGGTGGAAGGGTCTTTCTCTGGGTTCTCTCTTTTTGTTGCGTTGATCAGTTTGTCTCTTTATATGCTAATACCACAACATCTTAATTAATTACAAATCCTCATTAATCAAATCTAGATGTTAGGCAAAGCAAGACGCACTTTGTTTTTCTTCTTCAGTCTTAACTGAAGTATCCTGGCCATTTGCACTGGTGTATAACTTTTAAAATCAGCTTATCAAGTTCCACAAAACACTTTTTGGGATATTGATTGGACTTGTATTGAATCTGTAGATCATTATAGGGACTACTGACATCTTTAAAATATTAGGTATTTTGGGCCTGCCAAGTAGCTCAGTTGGTTAAGAGTTGGCTTAAGAGCGCGAGCTCTGAGCAACAGGGTCACCGCTTCGATTCCCATATGGGCCAGTGACACTGCGCCCAAGCTGAGCTGTCTCTGAGCTGCCAACAGGTGGCAGGATGGCTCAGCTGGGGTAACAACAAGATTGCCTGTTCAATCACCCGCTACTAAGACTGAACTCAGCACATTGAGCTGAGCTGCTGCCCGATGGCTTAGTGGATACAGCATGTGTGCGCTCTTAACAACAAGGCTGCTGGTTCACCTCCCATATGGGAATTGTGGCTACACCCACCCGCAACTAAGATTGAACACAGCACCTTGAGTTTAGAGGCCATGAGCTGCCGACAGGAAGCCAGATGGCGACGGGCGCCCTCCACAACAAAGATTGAAAAACAACAACTTGGCTGGTCCCCTTTCCCAATTCCCCAACGCTGTTCTCCCCGAATTCCCCAATAAAATCTTAAAAAAAAAAAATGGAAAGAAGTGAATAATTTAAAAAAACTAAAAATGAAGTCACCTCTTCTTTAGCTTCTATAATGTTCTTATTCCCTTATTATCTTTAAATCATACCTTATACTCCACTGCATGTAGGATATAACTCAATAAATTTTAAAGGGAAAATATGCAAAACGGAAGTTGTACATTATAAGGGAAAGACAATATTTCCTGACTTTATTTTTTAATATTTCCTAATTTTCAAATTACTGTATGACTTGAAATTCCCTCCTCTGTGACTTGTAAATACTGTTAGCTCCTTGGCCATATGTGCCATTTCAGGATATAACAGTGGAGATGGGTGATTAGAACATTTTCATCATCTATAACCAAAGATGAAAAAGATTTTGCCAGCGATTTAGTGCTTCCATTCACTCATTTTTCAGAGTATATTACTCATATTTAAAAATAAAATAAATGAATAAATTGTTACACCAAAGAGTTATTTTAAGAAACCTAAAAATAAATAGTAATTTCTCTTTTTATTAACTCTTTTTCCCTTCCTATGGTTTTAATTCAAGATTTTTTGTTTTAAACTAAGCACTATGAAAGTTTTATGAGTCAAATTTTGGATTTTGATTTTTAAAAACACTTTTTTATTGTTCCAAAAGAAGCAGCCAACACTAAGCAGTATCTTTCTGGATATGAATGATATTTTTGAGGACCTACCAGTTTTTAATTGTCCATTGTTTCCTAAACTGTATTTTGAATTTCATTTGCTCTCTCCTAGGGAATGAAGGATGGCAGCACGCCGTGCATTAAAAGCTGTTTTGGTGGATCTCAATGGCACACTTCACATTGAAGACGCAGCTGTGCCAGGCGCCCAGGAAGCTCTTAAAAGGCAAGCTATCCTCCAGGTTCAGCTGACAAATGTGTTTGTGAGTGCCATTTTAGCAAGGCAGATCATTAGCTAAGTGGACAGCCTTAAGATGGCATTTCACCAGCTTACTGTATATACAGAGGGTGCCAAAAAAATGTATGCACATTTTAAGAAAGGGAAACACTGTATTAATTGTAATAATCAATATATACCAATGACAAAAGATGAATACAAGTCACGTTTCACTTCTGCAATTACAAAAAGTGCGCAAAGTGGTTACCGTCATCATCCAGACACTTCTGATTCCAGCGAACTACTGTTTGAGCATAGATAACATCTCTGAAAATGTTTTTGGCACCCCCAGTATATAGGGACTGCCTTGGGTTTAGCTGGAAGATGTATGCGTTGTACTGTCCTCCAAACATTGTTCACTAAGCCTTTATGAGGTTTGGCCTTTTGATCTAGTCTTTTGTTTTATTGTGTGTGTCTTTTTCTAAGTCAGTAATGTAAATTTGTGAATGAAAACTCAGGGCTCTAAAGTGTACAGTAAACAGTATTGGAAAAATCACAAATGAATCCTGGAATCACAAAATGAAACACACATACGCAAAGGCATAGTGCCGCCCACTCCCCCTTCAGCTAAGATCTAGCATTGAGTGTGCAGCTGCTCAAATAAAATTAAGGGATTTGAAATTTTGGAATTATTGCCATCAACTAAATGCATTGCTTTTGAAGGTTAGACACTGTCTTATATTTCTGATGTATCAACTGTAGTACTTAATATGTCTGGATGCAAACCAGGATATATATTAATAGTAAAAGCTTGTCAAAGTAAACTGAATGTGAATGTTTGCTTCCGAGTGTCCTGAAAAAATACTTGTCAGTACAGCAGAACTAATAATCGGTTTAAGCATCTTCATCCTAAAATAATTTAGAGAAGTTTTCAAAGACAGCAATACTAGCATGGGGTACTTATCATTTTCCAATCTTAAAATCTTCATAATATGCTGTTATTCAGAAAATTCAGTGACTAGCATCACAGTGACAGGTGTTAGGGCAAAAGATGGACATACTTTGCATTCTCTCAGGGAGCTCCCTTTCCATTTGGGAAATTAACAAGTATACAGAGACTTGTATATCTGGTAGGCACCAGTTGGAAGCATCGATGTAGTTAGGAGTCGGGACGTTCATTTTATAGGTGGACAGCATGCTTTTAAAAGCCAAAAGAAAATCAGTTCCACTGTTCGACTTTCTCTTGACTCCTTGATACTGTCTCTTTCACAATTAGGCTTTCTCGGAGAAAGAATGTCTGTTGATCAGTCACTATTCTATTGGACAGAAGCTTTTATTGCTCTAAAGATGAGCTTTCTACTTTGGAGGGAAAGGAAAATATTTTTATTTCTGGTAAACAATGAATGACATATCTAAGTAGCTCTGTAACTGTGAGCCTGCCATTCTAGAGAGGCAGGAGCCTCCAAATTGCACTGATGGGTTTCCATCCCAGCAAAATTGCTATAGTGTCACTGCCGTTTTGGTTTCTATAGAAACAAACAGACTAAGGGAAGTTGAGGGACCAGTAAAAAGAAAAGTTGAAAAAAAAAATCCTCATTAAAAACGATGTGGTTATTTCAGTACTTACACTTCACTTGTTCATTTTTCGGATAATAGTTATGTTGAAATAATCAATTCCTTTTGAGAGGTAAACCACCAAATTTAATGTGTTCAGAAAAACTATCACACATAATATAGAGGTAATCATGATAATAGTGAACTATTTAATCATACAAATTTAGTTAATGTTCTTTGGGTAAACACTTAAAAATCTCTTCTGTTTTATTTGCTTGCTTGTTTTAAATGTGCTTAGTGCTTTTATACTTTGTAGCTAATTAGTACAGGCATAAAATAAAAAGCAACAGCATATTATTAATACAAAATTTTTAATTGTAACTAAATTCAAATTATTTTTAGATTTTTGGATTAGAACACTGTCGGACCAAGAAAATAATTTTCATTTTTAAAGAAAGCTACATCATTGTGACTTCTTTCTCTCATACCTGATTGCTAGTTTAGGTTCCAAAAGCAGAGATAGCAAAATCAAAACAATCCCGTATGTAAGTAGTTCAAGGGGAAAACATTTCATTCAAAAAAAAAAAAAGAACATTTCTTTGAGCTGTCCAGTAGATTCTGTTTATACATTTAGTAGCACATTAGGGCTTAGCCAGTCTCTAACTGGCTGAAAAGAAGGAAACAGCATCTTGAGGCATTGTCTGTTTTCATAGTATAGGAGATCAAGTCCTGTACCAACATAGATCGGCGTTCTTGTCACAGCCCTACTGCCAACCAAGTCACTTAACTCTGCTAGGCCTCAGTTTTCTCATCCTTAAGAAGAAAGGGTTACACTAGTATATAATCTCGACGATAACTTTCACTTCTCATATTTGATGAGTACAGTGGTTACCAAGCTTTGTTTTTTTTCACTTTACTAAAATCCTGCGGTAAAATCCTGGTAAAGTGTTCAGGTCCTCTAAAAGGTAGCCATAACTTTCACAATTTGACTTTGTAGGCTTTGGAGATGAAGCAACCCACAGGGAGTGGATAATATGGAAGCAATTCTGGGTAGATCACGAAAAGGATTATTGGCCATAAAAACATTTACTCAGTGACTTCATTTTCTGACCTTTGACAAGTGCTCCCAAACTAGGAGGTTTTGTGGGGCTAGAATGTAAAAGCTGTCCGTTGACTTCTGAATTTTACTTTTCCAGGTTACGTGGTACTTCTGTACTGGTTAGGTTTGTGACCAATACAACCAAAGAGAGCAAACAAGACTTACTGGAAAGGCTGAAAAAATTAGAGTTTGATATCTCTGAAGATGAAATATTCACTTCTCTGACTGCAGCCAGAAATTTAGTAGAGCAGAAACAAGTCCGGCCCATGCTGCTCGTAGATGATCGGGCACTGCCTGATTTCAAAGGTAGGGGACGTTTGGAAAGATTTAAAAACTGGTTCTTCATATCTGCTTATAAATCGTTCTTAAAACTGGATGTTTAGAAGCACTTATTCGGATTTCCTCCTATTATTATTGAAATGGTCAACAGATAGTTTGAATCTAAATTGGTGTTTCTCAAACTTGTTCTGACTGTACTCCACAATAAGTGAAACACATTACATAGTAACCTAGTACATATATTATGTGTTTATATATGCTAAACAATACTCTTATTGGATGAGAAGTACTCTATTTTCTGTTTGGTTTACTTACTAGTGTGTTTGGTGACTTTGATGCTGCTTAGAACCCTCCAAATTAGTTTTACAAATCTAATGGATCACGACCCACAGTTTGAAAAAGTCAAAATTAGTTTGAGTATTATAATTTTCAATCCAAGACCTACTGTATTAATTTGATTAAATGAGATAAACCAAGAGTTCTTTGTTTAAAAATGGATGTCATTCTGTACAGTATGAAATTTTTGCAATGACTGAAATATTTTCAATCAGAAGAAAACTTTTCTTTTTGGAAAAATTCACAGACTGGAAAAATATCTAGTTTTATGAAGCTTTGCCACATGGCTTTGTTTTATAGATGATTCAGAGTGAAATGACACAATATAGAAAAATGGGTATCAATATATCATTATAAAACCATGTGATGGCTTTACAAACAATGATTAGGGCAATTCAGCATGGATATACAGTTGGGCAGAACCTCAAAACTTGTCCTATCTGGAAATATACCGACATATCAATCAGAATTATTATTTGTAAGAAACAAACCAATTTTGGCTGTGTTAAACAGAAAATGAGTTTATTAGAATCTGAGCGCTGACAGGAATGTAAAATGATACAATTCCTATTGAGAGGAATTTGGCAATATTTAGCAAAATTGCATATGAAGCAGTACTGTCACTTGTAGGAATCTGTCCCCAAGATATAGTTATAAAAATACACAATAACATGAGCAGGTTTATTCATTATGGTCTTACTGCTAATAACAAAAGATTGGAAACAACCCAAATGACCATTGGAATGGACTAACTAATTATGATATATCCATATATCCACAAAATGGAATGCTTTGTAGCTGGAAAATAAGTGGTGACAAAGAATTCTGTTCCCTGATAATAAGTGATCTTCATGGGATATATTAAGTGAAAAAAGTAAGGTTCAGAAAAATTTACATGTTTTCTGTGTAGGGAAACGGATATACATAGCCATATATATTCATATATATCCATATATGGTGTATACACACATAACCATATATATTCCTTATATTTGTAAAAGGAAGCTAAAAAAGGATAAATGAAAAAATGAATAAAAATGGTTAATAGGGGGAGGAAGGAAGGAGGAGAAGGTCAGGTAAGGCGATTTCTCTAAAAGTACCTTGTTACATAGTTTGCATTTTGGAACCATGTAAATACATATTTAAAAGACAATTGAAAAGTAAAAAACAGATCAGTCCCTGAAAACTAAAAGGAGATTGAAATAAAGGAACTTAACTTTATATCAAGTTGGTGATATAACTACTCAGAGAAAAGAATTATTTCAAATTATGACTTTAAATACAGTATTTTGACTATTCGTAATGGGATGAATTGTAAGGATAAAAGAACTGCAAAGAAATCTTAACATTCAGTAGTTTAGTGTTATCAGTAATGTTGGTATTGTTAGTTTGAAACTATACATCAATTATAGGATAAATCAAAGTAGTAATTATGCTAGTATTTGTTAAGATCGGAGATTTTAAGTGTAAGTGAAAAGACATGCAAATATAAAAATCAAATTAGTTAATTAAAAGCCGTGTGTTATTAATTTTGAATTGTAAATATCATTGTCAACTTCCTTGTTCTCTTAAAAAATACATATTATCTAGATCTTCCACTGGAAAGGCCTAGAAATAATGACAACCAGTGGTCAGACTGTGGGGTCTCCTACCATTTTCTGCTTTATTTCCTTGGAGTAACGGCTGATTCCAGATCTGGGCAGGCATTGTACAAGATGAGTCTGGGGTAACTAATTGTGTCAGCAAGGAAACGATGGAAGACTAATGAGATCATATCTAAAGGACAGTGGGGTCAATTTGAAGGGATAATTTTAGCATCAAAAGGAATAATGATTGCAATGGATTGTAACACATCGTATCTGTAGAAAGCCATGAGTTCAAAATGACACTCAGCCCCACAGAACTCATTGATCACTATTGGAGGTTGTCAGGCAGTAACTCGTTATTCTGAAAATGGATAAATTAAGGGAGTAAAATAAGTATCTTGCCTTTCCTTTTTGAACTGTATTTTAGAGTAGCCAAATATTTGATGAGGTTAAATTCTATATGGAATTCCAGCCAGTAAATGAAAAGGGAATAGCAGAATTAGAAAAGCACCATTAGGAAGCCCTAAAGAAATAGGCAACAACAGTAGTAGGTTTTAAACACATTAGGTGGAGGGCTGATGAAGAACTTCAGTGGAGGAGTCAGGCTGACACCACTTAAACCTGTTAATCAATCTGAACATCACTGCAAGTAGAACCACCAGAATTTTTGTGCTTCGTAATGTGATATAATAGGAAATTTATAGCATTGCCTATGAAATAATCTTGCCCAAAATTGAATGTAAGTCTAAGAAGCCTGTAGATCTAATTACCAGTTTACAGGAAAAATAATGGTAAAGGAACAAATTAAATAATATTACTATACAAGCAATCAGCCAAATCCAGAATGTGGGACCTTTTTCAGGACTAATGATCTAGTTGCTCCAATAAGTGGAGAGGAGTGTGCTGTTATAGAATGAGACATAAGAGGTAACAGACAAATGTACCAGTTACATATCAGATGTAAAAAGACATTTTGAGACATTTGGGCAAATTAAGTTGTGGACTAATAGGTATTGAGTGATATTATAGAATGATTAACTTTATTGGTATAATGTTAAAGTGGTTATTTTTTAAGTCTTTATCAGTTAAAGATACATATTGAAATATGAAGGGGTGAAATGACACAATATCTGAGATTTGCTTTAAAAAAGACTTCAGAAAAAATGTAGAAGATGATAGATTAAGTTGGCAAAATGTTGGTGGTTGCCAAAGCTGGGTAATGGGTACATCAGGGCTCATTTTACTAGTCTTTCTACTTTTATATATTTCTGAAAATTTCCATGACCAAACCCCCCCCCACCCCCCCAAAAAAAATGACTGTTTGGGCAGCCCACAGAACTGCCAAGGAGAGCTGCAGTGTTAGTCTAGGGCCTGTGCAGCCAGGAACAGTGTGCAGCCATGCCGCAGAACTGATCAGGTGCCACTGATGTCCCTGCCGAGCACTGAACTCTGCAGCTTGACCCCAGTGAAACTGGAAATTGAATGCTCCAGCTAGAAGGCTGCCTCAGAATCTGAGGCTGCAATAGTCACCTCTTTCAGAGGAGGCTCTCCCTGCTGCTTTGTGTTACTAGCTTACCAGTTGAAAGCTCTGGTGGGTGTTTCTGATTGGCAGAGCCTCTGCTCGTGCCAGCACCTGTAGCTGCAAGAGAGGCTGAAAAAGGGTGTATTTGGTGTTTTCAGCCTCGAATAAGAGGGATAGCTCTGCCTCTCACCAAATCTTATGATGATGCGACCCGCGCACCAACCGAGTGTTCCTGACTCGTCAGCCAGGAACCCACCGAAAGGGTACCTGAGAGGACTGGATGGGAGACTGGAAAAGAGACTAGAGACGAAAGCTGGGAACAGGAGGTCCACCCAATGCTGATGGCAGAGAGTGGCCTCGTTTATTATTTGTATACAGCTTTTATAGCAAAAGTAACTTTTCTAGGGTAGGGGGATTTGGGGACCTTGAGGGAGTAGCCCCCTCCTCTCGGGGAACAAATTCCTTGGAGGCAGTCTTTCCGAAGCAAGACAAAACAAAGTATAGCAAGCAGAAACTGTTAACAGGATGGCCTTCCACTCTGTAGCTTTCAAGGCCATTGGCTGTTTTCTCCTCAGCGGCCAACCTTCCCACACTGCTCACCCGGGCCTGAGAGCCTGTCAACCTGCCAGCTCTCAGGCTTAACCCTTAGTGCAGACCTCCGGCTCCCTACATTATGATTATGAGCTAGTGAATTTCCTAATTATGAGAATGGTATTCAGAAACACAACCAAAAATAATGACAAATGTACTCTATAATAATCAATGGTATTTTTGTCTCTGAGTTAGCTGAAGTATTGCAAAACAATATTTTAATCAGGTTTTTCTCTTTTGACTTTGTTTGAAGTTTAAGATTCTACTTGGGTCAGCAATGAGCTGTAGTTGGGATATATAAGCAGAGTCCGTGGTATGGAAGAAATCTTTGTCATTCAGTCCAGGACAATACTTGTAACATCTTATATACATGGAACTACCCAAAGTAGATGGGTTTTTGAAAGGAATAGAAATATCCTTGCTACTATTGAATATCTTTGCTGGTGGTAAATGGAGATAATAAAAAGAACACAAAAACTCCAACTTTGACTGCAGCCAAGAGTTTTATTTTCTCCCTTTAACAAACTTGCACCAATTCCTCAATACTCTTGGCTGCTGGTTAGGAGGAAATTGGGGAAATCTTGGGTATCTCCTCTTCCTGTTTCATCCCTTCACATTTTGGTGGAATTGATAATGAAACATGCTTAAAGGCAGGCAGTAAGAGAGGCAAAGAGAAATGGGCACACAGAGAATCTACAGAACCTTTAATCAGACTTTTAATAACTGCGATGGTGAATGTACTTGTCTGGTTTTCATATCTGAAGTCCATTTATCAGGTACCAAGACCTTACAATATGCTTAAATTGTAATATTTGTGACACTAAAAGTATGAGGCATTATGTAGAAAATTGTAGGATCTACAGTGCATTACATATTTATCATGAATGTGTTAACCTCAGCTGTGTCAATTTGACAGTCTAATTTCTCTTGCCTCTTAGATTTTCATTCTCTCATCAGTTGCTATTGATCTGATAGCTCCTGGGGAACTCATGGCTGTTCTTGTTGATTGTAATCAGTAAAGCTTTTTGAAGTTAGAAATTACTTGTTTGAGAACATCAGGTTACAAGTTTCAATTCAAATATTTCACTTTCTGTAAAACCATGCAAAAGAAATATGCAAAAATATTAGGAGACCTTTTTCTTTCTTTTAAGTGTCTTTTACACTATTTCCAAAGTGCACTGGGCAGGATAATCTCTTAAACTTCAGATTATGACTACAGCAAAAATTTGTACTTGAGTGATGAAAACTGCTTTATTATAAATGTGACATTACTTTTAATTGCATTTTATTTATATATATATATATATATATATATAAATAAAATTTTATTTATTTTTTTCATTCCCAGGAATACAAACAAGTGACCCTAATGCTGTGGTGATAGGATTGGCACCAGAACACTTTCATTATCAAATTCTGAATCAAGCATTCCGGTAAGTCTGTAGCTATTTATTTTTCATCTGATCATATACTCCCCTACCTCCCTTCTTGAGTCTTTGTCATGTAAGGTTACATATGTGTACTTTCTGGCCACCTAGATTGTATGTGAAGACAGACATTTTTAAGATCACTTCCACTTCAACATCAAATATTTATTACTATATCGCTTAGTTTTTAAAGAATGATCAACATGTTAAAAAATATGATCATTGGGGTTTTTCTGGTTTATAAAAATCAATATTCTGGAGCAGAACTTCATAATAAAATTCCAACCCTGCAAGCCAGCAGCTTTATCTTTGACTGTCACTCCCGTGATTCTCCACCAACTGTGCTAATATCTGACAGAAAACACCATCCAGGCTCATGCACCAAAGAGTCAATGTGATTTTTCCTCCCGTTGAGAATTGGGGATATGGAAAGAAGTTGACACATTTGACCACTTTTTTAGAGGAATCCTTCAGCGAGTGATACTGGTCATCTGAACGGGGATAGTGGCAGTAGCGATGAAGAAAACCAGATTCAGGTGGCGTCAACATGACTCAGTGGATGACTGAGTTTAGTAGGTGAAGAAGGACAGTGAGTCAAGGAAGACTTCAGATTTCTAACCCAGCATATGTGATAGAGAACACTTCCTGTGTGGGCTGCAGGTGGTGATAAGATTAGGTTGGGGCTCTTTGGCTTGTGGGATATCTAAGTGGAGATATTCCAATGGCTGTTGGTGGAAATTTGGGGGCAACACCAGTAACACATGAAATGTTATAAATCTTCAGTTGTGTGTGCATTTTACTTTTCTGAACTTTTTGCTGCTGCTTCCAAAAGGAATACTGCGCACTGGTTCTCATACTTCTTAAGATAAATCGGATCAGAATTTACCTGCAAGTCTGCAGGTACATGTGACTTTTTTTCTTGGATTTTTCACTGTACATAGATTTTTCATTTTTCATCTTTTACCTCTTGTCAGGTTACTAAACAGTATAATTGGTCTTTCAGTTTCTGACAAGTTAAAGCAGTTCAAAATATAGGGATATATTGAACTAGCTTTAAACATTTTTTAAAAATAGCTTGATAAATTTTAGGTATTTAACTGCAAGAAATGCTGTGAGAACATCATTTTTCTTACCAGTACAAGGATCTGTAAGAATCATTCTAACTTATGCTTGATGTAGAATCCATTTCTTTAGGTATATGTCCTAGAATCAGAAGGTTTGTAGGAAACTAAAACTCAGTACAAGTTGAGTTTTAGTACTGAGCACAGTGTTTGCTGTTGATCTTGAATATGGGCTGTCCTCATGTACAATCTTTGTGGCCAGAAATAGCACCTTTTTACCTGTATGCCCATTAACTTTAGATCCTTGGTTAATGGAAACTATGGGTACTTAATGCACTTAGTCATTGTGATAGTGAAGCCTTTGTTTAAAAGGAACAAACTGACTTTTTATAGTTGCTAAGTATCCATTTACTGTAGTTATTTCCTGGAGGTTCACTGCTATGCCAGGTTGCTTGAAGATGTACTAGTGGGTATATGGTGTTAAAATTTGTTTTGCTTCACCTACTATAACTTCTTGGGGTTTGGGGTGGGGGGTAGATTATCTCACCTGCTCCTTAAGTAAGTCTTACAACTATACCAGAATCAATTTTCATTAGAAATAGAGAACCTGCTGTAATTTTTTACTTCTGAATTTACCTCTGTTACTTATTATTCATTTCTTTAACCACAGAATTCAAGGAGAAGGTATTGATTGATTTTAGCTGGTAACTTGGGAAGGACATATTTAATAGGTCTCTGTCTTAGATGAATACTAGATTCAGGGTAATAAAAATGTATGTTGACATAATACTGACTTTGTAATTGCTCGGATGCTGCCTAATTAGTACACTTCCCTAACCATATTGATTTTTTTAAACACTACATTTTAAAGCATTACAGTGCACTTATAGGTCAAGTCTAATTTCACAAATGCACTTAACAGCTGGGTGGAGAGTTAACAGAAGGATTTTAGGTCCTGCCCTTCTTTGCATATTGATGTCTCCACAGAGACTATGCCTTCCAACCAATGACTACAGCTGTTTAGATTGTAAGTGGCAAATACAGACATCTCAAATGAACCACCGATTAGTTAAATTACTCTTCAGGTTGATAATGAGAATAAACATTGGATTTTAAACCCGTTGCATAGCTGCCTTGAATACTAGCTTCAGGGGCCAATTGCCCTCAGGCAGATAGATGCATTAGCCTTCCACATTACACTGCCTCTTATTTACTGTGTTTCAAATGAGTAGGCCCCCCAAAATGCACAGTACAATCTGGCTACAAATATGTCTTCAATGTCTGAATGAAATTGAGAACACTGAATTTTAAAGAGTTGATTTTAGACAAGAATAGACATGATTTGATTTGGGGGTTTGTATTCTAGAAAACATTTAAACCCTGAAAGCCATTAGTAGCTTTTTCCCTTTTACCTATTACTAAAAGATACAAAAAAATAATAAAACAAACACTCATATGCCTATCAAGCAATTTGAGAAATATAAATTATCACACATTTGATATCCCCTACATATCCCTCCCTCATTTTATCACCCAAGACCCCAAAGTAATCAGGATTCCGAATTTTGTGTTTATTATTTGCATGCATATTTTTATACTGTAACACATTTGTAGATACCCCTAGATTATATATAATATTATTTTGCATGGTGTTTTTTGCATGTTTTATGCTTTATTTATCAATTTGCTTTCTTCCCTAGTAAAACTGTATGATTCATCAGTATGAATAACCATAACTCCAGTTCATTCATTTTCAGAGCTGTAGTACTAGCTTGTAGCTTGTCTTTTTTTCGTCTTCTGACCTGAGTTCGAAACCCAAAGCTTGAGCGTTTTAATAATGGACCAATTATAATTAAATTTAATGATCTCTATAAGGAGGAAGGCTACCTGGGCAAACAGATCACTTAATAATTTGAACTTAGCATTAACAAGACCAAAAAATATCTAAGCATAAAAGTAATATGTCTTCATTGTTGAAAATTTTAAATGCTCAAAAAAAGAAAAAAGAGGAAACAAAATTAAAATTACCTATAATCCTTCTACCTAGTTATTTTGTTTCCATGCATATATATATTTAGACAAAAATGAGAATGTATATATATACTGTATATATAGGCATACAGTGTGGTAATTTGCTCTTTAAAAACCCAACAATATGTTGTGCATGGTTTTCCATATTCTTAAATATTCTTCTAAAATATGTTTGATTCCCACAGCATATATACCACTTTAAGAAATGCAATAAGTTGTATAGCCATGCCTTTCCTATTGTTGGTTATTTCTAGGTTTTTGAAGTTAGGTGTGTTTTTTTTTTTAAACCTTCTGAGAACGTTTGTTAAGCAGTATTTGTATGTGTTAAGATTTTTTTTTTTCAGAATTATAATTGCTAAATTAAAGGAATTTGGGGGGAAAACTGCACGGAATTGCTTAACCTAGGAAAAGTTCCAGCTTTTTTTATAAATTAAGAGCATCTGCTCTCCAGCTTCTAGAGGAGCTGATTAAAACGTCATTATAGGGGTAGCGGTTAGCTCAGTAGGTAGAGCACAGGATCATAACACCAAGGTTTCTGGTTCGATCCCCACATGGGCCCGTGAGCTGTGCCCGCCACAACTAGATTGAAACAACTGCCTGACTTGGAGCTGACGGGTCCTGGAAAAATACACTACACTGTTCCCCAATTAAAAAAGAAAAAAAACAAAACAAGAAAACACAAAAGCAGGCAAATTTTTAAAAAATAAGAAAAATAAAATGTCATTATATCTGAAGATAAGTGACATCATAACCTCTGTATTTAAATGCAGAGGTGGAAGGCTACTTAAGAATAATGTTTTGAAGCTTCAGAACAACTTCATTTTGAAGTTAATGACTTCTTTCCTATAATTGTTACAAGGTCTGAGAATCTTCCAAAAGTCTTAGAGATGTGCAGAAATTCATTGTTTTGTTTTTTGGGAGGAGATTCATATCACTGTAAATGGTTCCTATTGAATGTTGGATTGCTTTCTTTTCTCCATCTCCTTAAGAAAACATGAAAAGTTAATTACTCCGATATATTCAACTCCTTAGAAAGGGAAGAAGAGAAAGGGAGAAAAAGAATCAACAATGGTCTCAGTTACTACTGCATTTTTACAGTAACTCTTGAATCTTTTCTAAGTATTTAGAGCCCTGAGCCTGAGGAATTCCAGAACACAATGGCAGCAGGGCTCAAATGAGAAATATTTCTGTGGGCTTTATTTTGAAAGGGCTGACTGCTATGCAGTCTTTTTAATTAAAGTGCAGACTATAAGAAATTATTTAAGACTTAAGAACTTGAGTTATTTAAAGCATTCTATTAGTATATGCAAGAGAACAATTTTATATTGCCAATTTGAAAAATCACAGAATACAGAATTGAGTTTAATATCAGTTACTAACTGCTCTAACTTTTTAATTTGGGGGAGATTCTTATATAATCAAGGCAACTTTTGCTACTCTAAATAAAAGTTTCAGGTGAAAGGTCACATAAATATATTCTGTTACTAATTTTTTTTTAATCTATGTATAACATGCACAGTAAGGTACAAATTGTTAGAATACAATTGAGTGAAATTTTACATATAGCTATACCTGTGTAACCCCCACTCTGATCAAGATCTAAAACATTTGCAGCACCCCAGAAGGCTTCCTATCTTAGTCAATACCACCCCTTCTTAAGGTAACCACTTACTACTCTGACTTCTGCCAGTATTGCTGGTTCTTGGTCTTCATATGAATGAAATAAAACTAGCATTTTTTTGGTCTTGAGATTAACCTAAGTTATTACAGGTAACAGTACTTCGGTTTTGTTTTGTTTCTTTATTTTTGTTGTTGTGTGGTAGTCTATTGTATGAATATTCCACAATTTACTTGTTTATTCTACTGTTAATGGGCATTTGGATTGTTTCCAATTTTGGCTGTTATGAATAATGCTGCTATGAACATTCTTCTACATGTCTTTTGGGGGACATACGAGTATGTACTCATTTCTCTTGGGTCTGTATCTGGAAGTGAAATTACTGGATAATAGGATAAGTACTTGTTTAGCTTTAGTAAATATTGCCAAACAATTTTCTAAAGTGATTGTAGCAAGTCACACATTCCCACTGGCTAATGAATGAGAGTTTCCATCTTCCAGACTCCCACCAGTGTCTACCCAGTCTGTGTAATTGTAGCTATTCTGCTTGGTGTGTGTAGTGGTATCTGAGTTTTAATTGGTATTTCCCTGATGAGTAATGTGTTGAAACCTTTTCATATGCTTATTAGCCATTGTATAACTTCTTTTGCCATGTGCCTATTCAAATCTTTGACTTTTTCTGATTGGATTGCATTTTTCTTGATTGATTTGTAGGAACTTGTTTTGTCTTATGTATACAAGTTTTTGGTTGGATGTGTTCTCTGCAGTATCTAATCCCTGTCTGTGGTTTGCCTTTTCACTCTCTTGATAGTATAAGAGCATGAAGTTTTTATTTTGATACAGTCCAATTTGTCAAAATGTCAGTAATGCTAAGATTGAAAAGCCCTGATCTAGTTCAACCCTTTCATTGATAAGCAACTTAGGCTCACAAATCTGATTTGCCTACCTATTTTAAGTAGTGTAGATACCACATTTTAGACCATTAAATGCTTGGGGCATGGGGTGGGCAATGCTATCTATACATTGTAGGATGTTTAGCAGCATCCCTGGCTTCCACCCACTAGATGCCAGTACCTCCCCTCTTCCCCACATTGTGACTGCCAAAAAGGTCTTCAGGCATTGCCAAATGCCCCCTGGGGAGCAAAGCTGTCCCCAGCTGAACCAGATGTCTGCCTAAGATGTTTGTAGTGTGGCCCTGCTCCCTCACTAGGCTTTGTCCGTTTTCTCCTTTACCTACGCGGGATTTGCAGCCAGAGAGGGTTGCACTGGGCCTTCTGTGTACCTTTTTTTGCCTTGCTTCTTGCACCTCAGTGGGCTTCTCATTCAGTATAGACGGAAAGTTCTCAGATTGCCTTCTGATGCATTATTTCTGGTAACAGAAACAACTAGCCCTTTTTTGTAAGTGTAAAATCGCTCCCAAGTAATGGGAGTATCTGTTTTTGATATTTTTAAAATGTTTAAATATAAAAGAGCTTTTAACCTGTGCCCTAGAAAACATTTACCTTTCAGTCCATCCTGAATATGCCTTGGCTCTTCAAAGTCTCCATAAAGCTTATGCTGTGCAGAGAAGAATGATAGAAGCAGGCACCACCTCCCTGAGAGATGCCTATCTTTTCCAGCCTCGCGTAGCACTAGTTCCCATTTAGAGAAATGTAGAGGAACCCACAGTTTCAGCCCTTCCAGGGAAGGCACTAAAGTACTGCCTGGGAATTAAGTACACCCATCAATCAAACTGATAAGTCTTATCCCCAGTTAATACATAATAAAATATTAACAAAGCCAAATCAAATGAGTTTTTAGTTTAGCTGTATAAGTGGAAAGCAATTTTGAGGTCTGTTGCATAAAGAATTCCAGTTCCGTGGTAGAGTAGCAAATAAATGGGATTGGGGGCGGGTGACAAGGCGGGGATAGATAAATCACCCATTATTATCTCATTGCTATCAGCTGTGGTTCTTGAAGGCCGGCATAGTGGCTTTATCAGGTTTCCTAACTGTTGGATTTTGAGATCTGCTTTAAGGAATAAATTTGTATTAATATTAGTGAATAAATTTGAAGGATCTGTCCTGTGCTGTGAGCAATTTGGAGTAACTAACAGTAAGGCCCTGTAATAGTCCAGTATTGGTTTTTACTTAATAAAATATTTAATCATAAATGTCTGAATTCTGCATCTCCCTCAGGAAGGCATTTCCATGCCCACCAACAAGAATAATTTAGCAGTTTCATAGTTGAGCGCTTAATTACTCATAATTGTGAAGGGTAAGATGTGATGAATTCTTCCTCAATGGACATACTAAATATTTTAACTAAGTAGATGGCTTGAAGTAAATTAAGCTAGTGAGATCATTTATTACATTGGTTAAAAGCAGTTTAAGAAATATATCATGTCCCACATTCCATTAGATGATAATATGTGTGTGACTATTTCTGCTGTGTGACTATAGGCTGCACTGTGGGGACGGATGGCAGATTTTTTTTGGATGAGGGTTGGGAGGTGAGTATTAAAAAGTTGGTGGAGTTTTTTGGATTTGTTTTGTTAGGTTTCTCCTGAGTCACTAATAAGGATCCTTAGCTATATGTAGAATTTGGTTACCAAATGAATGGGGATACGCTTAGGGCCCTTTTGTTGGGAATGAGAATATTTGTCCTGTATCAGGACAAAGAAAGCAATTTGGCAGTAAAGGCTCTCCCTTAAGCCTTGTTGGTGTGCCGTGATTCAGGGAAGATGGCCTGGCTGGCAAAGTAATGTCAAAAGTAGTCAAAAGGTAGAATGAAGCGGTAAAGATACAAGCAGAAAGTATTTGTAAAATGCTCTATTAAATTTCTGAATCAGAAAGAAACATACCTTTTAGAGTAGAGGAAACAGGAAATCAGGTATTTTAGGAATTAGCTGAATATGTCACTGCAGCAACAGTTGTGTCGGATTGTAAAGGCTCCAGAGCCTCCTGCTTCCATTAGGGGAGGTTGAAACAACTTATCTCATTAAGTTAAGCTCCTTCCCTTGAGTGTCTTATTTAGCTTTACTTCTCTTAATTCTCGTTCCCTAGTGATTTGGGTAAAGTGTCTGAAACCACTAAAGGTAAAAGGTTGAAGCAATCCCAAATTTAATAATCTATCACCTTTCTTTAGTGTATCTGAGTGTAATTCCCAGCAGTTCTTAGTGAATTCATTAGAAGACAGCAAGTCATTAAAAGTTAATAAGAAACTATTTGTTTCTGTGGGTGTGAAGAAAACCACTTTGTAAGTTTGACATTCTTTCCTAGTCATAAAAGCCTTGCATTGAGCCTGTTTCCATTTTCTCCTGTTTCCATTTTCTCCGTCTCCCTAGGTTACTCCTGGATGGGGCGCCTCTGATAGCAATCCACAAAGCCAGGTATTACAAGAGGAAAGATGGCTTAGCCCTGGGGCCTGGACCATTTGTGACTGCTTTGGAGTATGCCACAGACACCAAAGCCACAGTAGTGGGGAAACCAGAGAAAACATTCTTTTTGGAAGCACTGCGGGGCACTGGCTGTGAACCTGAGGAGGCCATCATGATAGGAGATGTGAGTAGAAGAGCCCAGGAAGTGCCCTGAGCTCACCTGTCATGCTTGTAAGATCCAACTTTGAAGCCCTGCTTGGAAACGCAAGCAGACTGTGCTCCTGATATCAGATGATAATAAGTGGCCGCCTATAAAACAGGCTTTCTGGTAGTTTCCGGTAGATGTTTAGTGGTCTTCTAAAGAACTGAAATTTTTATTATTTCTAGCATCCTTCATAGTGTGATGATATATATATATATTTCAAAAGGCCATTAAATGCAAGTCAGTTAAATGCTTTATATGTCTTTTTGAAGAAAACCTCTACACAAATTTAGATTTTTTTTTTAATATTATGCAGGAACAACCTATACCTAAAGAATTCTACCATTATTGATTTTTTTCCTTAGTATATGCTTTATGGAAGAACTTCCCAATCAGTGTGCCACAAATAGCGAAACATATCGATTGCCTCAGCCCTTTGAATGGCAGGGCTGAGCCTGGATGATTGAAGGGCCTGGCTGGTGTCCTCTGGCCGTGAGCACGTTGTCAGCTCACGCTGGTGTACTGGGGAAACATTTTTTATGTGTACTACGAGGGAGAAAGAGCTAGAAAGCTCTGCCTTGTAGGTGGTAAGTAGGTGGCAAGGATTATATTTCAATTTTATATAATAACACGTGAGGCTGGAAGGAACCATAGAGATTGTCTGGTCCAAACCTCCTCATTTTATGACTGAGAAATTGAAGCCCAGAGAGGTAAATCTCCATGTCTGAATTCCCTTAGCTAATTAGTGGTACAGCTGGAAGTAGAACTTGAGGCTCTGGACTCCCTCCAAAACGAACTGTAGATCCCTTGCTTTCTTACATTAACGTGTGATGGTGCAGATATATCACGGTTCTCCTGATCTCCTCTTCCACATCTATATGTGCTCACATAAAACCAAATGGGATAATCATTGAATTTGATACTGTTTTGAGAAACCATCTTTTCAGCCATATCTATTCCTCTTGGAAAGCCTTTAGCTGACTTTCCTAGGCAAATGCGTGTTTGAAGAAGTGGTTATTTGAGCCTGGAGACTTCTGAGTTCTTTAACCTGGAGATACTGCTGTTGGGACAGGGTGGGAGGTGGGAAGGGCATGCCATAGCAGCTTCATGCAGGGCTGTTACCCAAGAGAGTGGCAGTTTTCCTCCCTCCCTTTCCTTGCCCACTTTTCATGCCTCTCTTCTTCCTTCTGTTCCTCTCCCCCATCTCCACTGCTTCAACAGGGCAAATTTAGATGCAACAGAAAAGGATTAGACTTTGAATGAAGATTTTGACATAAAACTCATTTCCAAGGGCTGTTGTTGAATAATATTAAAGATTTTAATGGAAAAAAATATTTTGTTCAGGCATGGTCTGAATGGATCCTGCTTATAGACATGAGATAGCAGGATTGATTTTTTTTTTATGTTTCTTCCAGTCTTTCGATTTGTATTACTTTGCATTTATTATCACAATCAACCAAGCATATGCTTCCCTATCTTGAGTAAGAACTGGAAAGAGGAGCTCCCTTTTCTTTTTCTTTTTTAAAGATTTTTATTGGGGAATCGGGGAAGGGGAACAGACAAGTTGCTGTCCTTTTGTTCTTCAGTCTAGTTGTGGAGGATGTCACTTCACTGGCCCATGTTGGTATTATCATTGTGCACTTCCCGGGTGAGGTAGTCGCTCGCCGCCCATTGGACGGCCACTTACGGCGGCTCATGGAAGCTTCATGGAAGCTCATTCCCGCTGCCAGCCACTTACAGTAGCTCACGGCAGCCCACTGCAGCCCCACAGCAGCCTGCGCCGTCACCGGCTACTCAGGGCACCCCAGCTCCAGGTCGAGCTGTTGTTCAGCATCTTAGCTGTAGAGGGCGCAGCATCACTGGCCCTCATGTGAGATCCGAACCGGGGCCTTGCTGCTCAGAGCTGGCGTCCCAAGCCAACTCCTAACCAACAACGCTACTCGGCCGGTCCAAGGAGCTCCCTTTCCTAACTGATCTATTATTCCCAAGTGTGAAGTGAGTAGCAGACAGTCCCAGTATCTGTGGAAGCCTACTGATTTGACCTGGTTCTACCTGTTAGGGACGATTGGATGGGAAGTAAGGATAATATACTACACGGGCAGCAGGAGAGCTATCTTCTGAATATAGTTCATTCACTGTCTGCCATTGGATCATTCACCTTAACAGCTGCCAAATGAATAGGATGCTTTCCCCCCGTGATGTGTGTGAAGAGGAGATCAGTGTACACATGGCAGAACGTGAAGACTGAGCTCTGTGTTTGGTTGCTAGGTTACTACTCTGTGGTACACCTTCCACCTCTGCGACACCCCCTTTTCAAGTGCTGTGCTTTTCTAGACTGTTACGTGTGGGTTTACCCTTTTTTACACCTTGTTCTCTTTGATTTTAAGAAAAAAACATGGGGTTACTGTTGGCCATCCCTGCCTAATAAGTCAGATCAGTTGGTAAGGTTTTGTTGGCAAGCTAACTGAAGACACTGGACTAAATGCTGTCTTTATGCTTTTCTAGGATTGCAGGGATGACGTTGGTGGGGCTCAGACGGTCGGCATGCTGGGCATATTAGTAAAAACTGGTATGTATCTTCTGTATGAGCCTTCTAAAACAGGGTGGTAGAATACACAATTGCTTAAAGAAAAGTCTTTGCGGAAATGGCAAAGCCCACTGGACACTTTAATTCTCTTTCTGCCACAAAATAAAAATGAAATGGTCTTAGGCTTACAGGGGAAAAAGACGACGTAGGAGGCCACATGCTGTACAATACTAGGAAGATCAGAGTTCAAAGGCATTTTCACACTGACCCAGAGAAAACCATACACAGTTAACAATTAGCATTTGTATGATTTTCTGAATGTACAAATTACCACATTAGAATGGACCAAAGACCATTGATTGTGGTGCCTTATAAGAATGTCTTTTATTTTTGTGCCAGCTAGTAGATGATGAAATTGGTCTCTTTAGGAACTAGCCAGCTAAGTGATCTGATGCTTTGTGTTAATGTTTGCATTTTTTTTAAGAAAAAGCAACGCACACAGAAAACTTTTTTCGTATCTTTTCAATTACTTTTTTAGGAGCTATTTCCTGTACCAAAATTAGGTATACTCTGTGTGGTCCCTCAGGTAAATGTAAGGAAAAGCAAGGAGCTTAATGGGAAGGACTCAGCCAACACAGTACTTGGCTCCTGTGGACTGATTAAGTGTCCTTGTCCCTGGCCTCAGCTCTGCACTGACAAGATGTGCGAGCCTCTGGCCAAGGCCCTTCACCTCGTGGGACCCTTGAAGAGTGTAGGGTTGGACTGGTTCTCTCTAGCTCTCACAGCATATGATTTTGTGCAGTTTTCTTATATGGAGTGTGGTTTACAAAGTCCTTTCAGGATAAAGAAAGAACAGGCATAAGAGCTATGTGTGGGGTTGAATCATTTTGCATTGGGAACTTTATGAGCCTTTTCTGTTTGGATACAATGAAAAGGGCCCCACCATGCCCTGCCCTCAGATGGCACCTGTTGAACTTAGAAGTCTTGTCCAAGGACTGTCATGGGCTCTTATAAATCAAATGACAGATAAATGGTTCCACAGATGTTTCTGTGAGCTCATTTGCCTGGTTTCATATAATGGTAGTAAAACTCATAGGCTGCTCATAAAAGGGAAGATTTAAACATAAAGTCACAGAAAAGCTGCCACTTGGCAATTTTTTAGAAAAAGTACATTTACTCATGACTGTGACATTTGTTCAAGAAAGTGTGGTTGCAGAAAAACTATTGGGAATTTAAAAATAGATACAAGAAAATATGGCTGCAGCTATAATTGAATAAGTATCTGGCAACGCCCTGTGTGAACAAAGAGTGGAAACAGTCTGCTCATGCCCAGGGTTTGGGGGAGACCATTGGAGCCTGGCAGATAGTGACACCAGTCACTCTAGAATTAAAAATGTGATTTTCCAGATTTCTCTGTCAAAAGGATCAGCACCTTCCCAGAAGCATTCCTACCCCTTGACATAAAGAAAAAAGAGCAAGTGTCAGAAAAGAGCTATACTCCTCATCCTTCCTGTATCTTAATTTTCAAATTCCTGCCATCCACCATTTTATTTTCTGGTCACTGAGGAAATAAATCCTCAGATAACTATTTTTCCTCTTGTGTATTATTCCCACGAACATTTTCTTTCTTTAGCTCACATAGTAAGGATTTAAGTTTCCAAACTGGTCCTATGCCAGTGTCTTGTAGGATCAACTCCCCTGACTGGTCTCCATTGGTCTACCTTCTTTTCTGACTGGCACTTGGTTGTGATCAGCCTGTCACAGAGACATCCAGGCAGTCTTAGAGAAGCCAGCGGCATAACACAGCCAGCTCTAAAATGTATAACTTGTAAAGCAGCTAAGTCCAACTCACGAAAACAGGCCCATTGGTACTATTCATCTCTGGTCAGAAAAAATCCCAAGTGAGCCCTGTTCCGAAAGCACACGGAACAGCAGGCTCCACTGATGAATTTGAATTCAGGGAATTTGAACAATTGCTAGGTTTCCCAGTGTTGAAAACTACTGTGACAATTTTAACTTATTCAGTAATAAGTGCTTTTTGTGGATAGTCTTCAGGCCTTTTGTTTCTCAATGTGTAACACATGGTAGATGCTAAGTATACATTTGCTTGACGATTGGTTAATAAAGATTTTTGACTGGTCCTCACCAGAATTTATTTCTGTTCAGCATGTGAAACAGTCATCTAGAGAAGATAGGCTCACTCTTTATCTAATCTCATCACCGTGGGCTCCCTGTATCCCCCCTCCAGTCATCATTAATCCATCCAGGAAAGCGCAGATTGCTACAATGAGTGAGTCCGGCACGAGTAATGGTGGCCTGCTTCATTCACCCAGCCGACATTATTGAGCACCTACTGTACGCCAGACACAATGCGAGGTGCTAGAACGCTCACACTGCCACACATATGGAAAATCACTGTGTTTATTTGTACCTGGTAGGGACCCCACTTGCTGGGCAAGATTAAGCAAAAGCATTCTGCAAGCCGTTATCATCGTGGCTAAGAAACTTGACTTTCACGTACTTGTCCTTAGACGGCTAGATCCAGGGAGTAGGTGGTAGAGCAATAATAGTTAGCCATTAATTTACAGTCTTGCAAAGGAGTTTATACTTAATGGGATTTTTAAGCCTAAGAAAAAACCGCCAGAGTTTACCATGTAGACCAAACTGGGCAGTTGCCTTGAGGACACTGAGGTGAGTGAGGTCTATATTCATTACTTTTGTACATTTGATGCTGGCTCCTTTCCTGTAGGAACTCCTAGTAAGACAAGACAGGAAGCGTCCTTACCACCACAGTGCAACCGTGTGGAACATGGAACGGGGTTGGCGGGCTTGGTGTTTGCTGGGCACAGCCTCTTAAAGCGGTAGTTGCAGCAAACGGAAGGAGTGGTAGAAAATGGTGGGTCTTTTGTTGGGGGAGCTGCATTTAGGCAGGGAATACTGGAAAATGCAGAAGAATAAATAGCAGAGATCACAGAAGAGCGGCTAGAGCAAGGAGTAGAGCGAAGTGCGGAGGCAGCCTGGGTGACGGCAGGGCAGTTGGCCTTGTTCTCCAGGGCCTCAGCTGAAGCCGTGTTCTGCGTTCCTCACTCCCTCTCTTCCCCCCCTACGCCCCTCCCTCCTCTCCCTCCCTCCCTCCCATTCTTAAACTATGCAGTGCTCACCGTGTATGCTGGTCATTATGTTAGGTGCTGGGAGTACAGTGGGGAATATAATAGGCCTAGTCCTTCCTTACAGAGAACTTACAGTCTTAGATGTGAGACAGACATTCAACAAATAAATATATAATTACAAATTGTTATAAATGTTACAGAGGCAGACAGCAGGGTGCCAAGAGAGAGAATAATGGAGGGGGTCCAATTTGGATGGGAGTGTGGAGCCTGAGCTGAAGCATGAGGCAGGTAGTCAGGTGAGAAGAATGTCCAGGCCGAGGGGAGCAGCAGGAGGGAAGGTCCTCAGAAGAGCCACGCCCAGCCTAGCACTGCGGCCTGGCGGAAGTAGCACACGCTAGGATAAGAGCGGTGCTGGGGCCTGATGTCAGAGGGTCTGGTAGGCAACAGTGGGGATTTGGGGTTCTTTCTGAAGGGCACTGGGACCCATTAAGGATGTTTAACTAGGGGCCATGCACCATCTGGTTTCCATTTGCGTAAAAGCACTCTGACCACCGTGTGGAATGGTTCCTCTCTTGGGGTGTTCAGTTGCGTGTCTTGAATTGCAGTCTAGGGAGAGTTAGGTGGTGTCCTGCCCCTTGGAGCCCTGCCGTGCATCCAGCCTGGCCTGCCTGGCCTGGGCCTGTGAGCATCCAGCACTCTCTCCCTCCCCACCCCCAGGCGCTCTGACTTGCCAGGTTTACAGGGTCCTGCTGGGCAGCAGTACTAGGTAGCCGACAAGGCCTCTACGCTGTAGTGTCTGGGCTTCCATTTAAAAGCACTGATTTAATCACCACTCCTATCTTTAGGGCTAGTGGGGAAGAAGACAATTTCATCAGCTGTGGAGATGTGAAGGAAACCTTAGCTGTCAGGTGACCTAGTGCCCCTCATTGTCCATTGCGAAAGGCCAAAGGGCCTGGGAAATGCCCCATGCGCTCTTTCTCTGAATGTCCCCTTGCATCCATGCGGAGCCCCGTATTCTCTAGCAGCTGTAAGGGTGGTTCCACGATGGCCCAAGTGCTCCCGGGTGTGGTGACTGCGGCGTTCCAGCAGCAGCTTGTGTTCACTGGCTTTACTTTCATTTCAGGGAAATACCGAGCAGCCGATGAAGAAAAAATTAATCCACCTCCTTACTTAACTTGCGAGAGTTTCCCTCACGCTGTAGAGCACATTTTACAGCACCTACTGTGAACCATCATGTGAAGCAGGAGCAACTTGAAACGAAGCCGTCCCTCGTTGTCGGGAATGAATCCCTCCCCAGCTCAGTGCCAGCACAGGCAGACACACCCTCCGTCCTGACACCCTCAACCCTCTTTTATTGTGCGTTAATTAGAAAGAAAGGTATTGCATTGCAGCCAGCCCCTAAGCCTGGCTTATCTCTGTTGTTTTATTTTGTAAAAGAAGATGAGACCCAAAGAAAGGGAAAGCTGAGATTTTATGCCATCCCTTTTAAAATATTCATCAGGCTAGACAGGGCCAGGAGGGAGAATGTCCTACCGGGGTCATGTTCTGTGCTGTCTCCTCACTGGTAAAGTGGGGGTGGGGAGAGGTTCAGGTTGGGCATAAAGTTGACTGGTGTTTTTTAAATTATAAAGGAATATGTGGAAAGGTGCATTAGGCTGTAGTGTTAATACGGAGTTCAACTGTGAGACCCATTGGAAGTGCCAAGCGGAGTACATGTCAGAAGCAGCAAAATAAATTGTCCTTCAGTCCAAGTGATGGAGTGAATTTGCTCTAACGGATGTGGAAAACTAGATTATCTGCTGTGTTATTCCCAGCACGGGTGACTTCTTTTTCTCTTCATTAGCCAGAGACGACTAATTTAAATTTAGAACCTGATTTTAATTTAATATTTCCATTAATAACCTATTCATTGCAGATACTTATTATACTGTGTAACAGTTGTTTTGGAAATTTTATGTAAAATTAAAACTATCAGTATTTTACAGATGTTTTAATTAGACATTGTTATTAACAGGAACAGTGCAGAAACTAAAATCAAGCCTTTAATGTCTTATAGACCATGCATTTTTGAAGTTAGTGTCCACCAGGGTCCTATTAACTGTACATTTGCAAGATTTCATTATTTTTGCCTCTGACACTATGGGAGAAATCTTTTAGAAGCTATTGGGACAGATTCAGGCTTTTATGTACTTGGTTACTACAGCTGTAAAATGAAATCTCGTCTGGTAGCATGGATTATTCTTCTCATGTTAAACCCACCAAAATGAAGGGGACTAAGTAGGTAATGATTTTCCTCATGCATTTGCATACTGTGATAATCCTGGGCCTTTGCAATTGTTTTACAGGGCTCTTGGGCATTGAATTATTAGCATGTAATTGTACATCATTGTAGTGTTCACCTTATTGAAGCACACACTGATGTTAATGAGCTTCGGGTTTTGATGCTTGTTTAGAGATCAGCTCGGTCTTGGATGGGAGGGAGCAAAGCTAAATCAATAGTAGCTCCTCTCCTTTCGGTAGTTCGGTGAGCACTCTGTTCTTGTTTTTGTAGGTGCCCCAGCTTAGTACTTCAGCATCCTAGAGTGCAAAAGGTAGATGTTACAGGAACACCACCCCGATGAGAAAATGAGTGGAGTGGCAGAGAGCACAGGCTTGGGAGCCTGGCCGGCACTTAACGAGGCCTGTGACCCTGGGAAAGTCACCTAGCTTTCCGTGCCTCCTTTCCCTTATCTATAAAATGGAGATAACGAGAGAGCCTACCACATAGGCTTGTTGTGAGGGTTAAATGCATGATGCGTATATTGAGTACTTAGCATAGAATCAGCCACATGCTAAGTCCTGTGTGTGTGCAGTGACGATGGTGCAGACGTAGCAGGAGTGTTGGCATTTAACAGTCTGAAAAGGGTTGGTAGAAGTCATCTGTACAGTCAATTTAATGGGGGAAGTCTTCCTGAGGATTCAAAAATAAGGGGGGACATTCTACTACGTTTAAACTTTCTCAGGGCAAGGCCACAGAGAGAGAAGCTCTGCACGCAGGTAGGGAGCCTGCTTGGTACCTGGTGGACAGGCCCCATTCAGCTTCGGCCTGTTACCTGTGTGCCTGGGTCAATGAGTCTCTGTTTGCTGGTTGCTTCGTGCTGAGTGGCAGGTTAAGAAATGATGGAGCATGTAAGAAGAGGATTTTGCCTTGAGGACCCTGACTAGATGAGTTGCTAAGGAGAACACAGAGGACATGAGCACCCTATCCCTCCTCTCTGACATGATCCTGACTGCAGGATGGAGTGAGGTGTTCTCTCCTTCGAGCCCACGTAGCACTGTTAGATTACACTTAGGTCTTCACATGTGTCTTTTTCCCCACCAGACAGGACTGTGTCTCATTTTTAAAAAATATCTGCTACAGAACAGATAGGCACTCAGGTAGCTACTGAAGCAATAAAAACTAGCTGTAAATATTATAGGAATTTAATGCCAGAAGGTATAGCTGTGGGAAGGGAGGAGAAAATAAGATTCATTTTAGACTTGTTGCCATAGGGTGCGCCCCCTTAGACTCTTGGAAATAATGGATCTGATGCTCTGCAGAGAGGTTAGAGCTAAAGCAAAGAGGCAGGCATCAGTGATGGTCAGGAATTAAATAGAATGACAGGAATGGGTGAGATCACTGAGCATAATGGATCCAGCCAAGGAAAACAGCTTCTCTACTCGCCTCCATTCTGGTTTGGCTCTGTGGACCATTAAAGCCTGAGTTTGATATGTTATTGATTTAACAAACATAGGGCTTGCTAACTGGCCTGTCCACATTGCGTTTCATGAGGATAAACAAAAATCTTGGTTTACATCCAGGTTAGTATAAATATTCCCAGCTCAGCTTGTTGGTCTGCTTTGGGCCTCATGGAGATTTAATAACTGAAGTATCTAAAGGACTTCCATTTCCAGCCCTCCCATTTCAAGGGCTATCTTGTGTTACTAACCTCAAGCACAATGTTTGCATCAGGCTTACTGTAATCTTGTCCTGGGCTCAGAAAAGGGACCAAGTGGCATCTTAGGACTAGAAAGGGTATTAGAGAACACCCATTGTCAGGAGATGGTTGTTGAGCATCTTCCGTGAGCCAGGTGCATGCTAGGTGTGGAGGAGGATGGAGCACCAGTCCAGTAGGGGAGACATGATTGTTACTCTCAGTCTACTATCACACCTCAAGAATCAGCTAGTTTGACCGCAGCCTTACCTACCTACCATTCTACACCTGTCAGAACCGATTGTAACACCTAGGAAAGGAAAGTGGGCCCACCCTAAGTGACAGTTCCATCAGACACCTGTAGCTGTGGATGTCAGAAACTCCCTTGTAACCTCACCCTTAATTCCACATTTAAAAGTTACAGTAGCCTGCTGGATTAGTAAGTCGAAAACACACCTGCTTTGGTTGTGTTCAGTTATGTTTTGGATCGGATCAGTGGTTGTGTAATACAATGCACCTATAATGAAAATTGTGTTTAAATTGTGCAAATCTATTTCACTAGAACACTCTGCCTCAAGTAGCAGAATTCCTCTTTCATAATCAGTTGTTTGCATAGAGCCATGTTTGCATTATCAGGTTTCAAGTCACAAAAGTTTTCAGCAGATCTTGTATTAGGTCAGCCATTGAAGCCTACTGCCCACAGCATGCTGCTGTCTTTAAGAGGCAAGCAAAGCAAGGTGCCTGAGCACTAGAAATTATCGTAGTTTAAACTGTGTGTTAAAATCAGACAATTTTTTTCAGGGCTTACCTTCATGTTATACACATCTGTTTCCCTGGCTGATGTGCCTGAAAAGATCAAACTATTAAATGCCCACTGTGGGTAAAGCTCTAAGGAAGACAGAGCAGAATAGAGCTCCCACTCTTTAGATGCTATCTTCTAGTTGGGAAATTGATATGTATAAAAATGTATTTAACAGTCCAAAGGTCCTTGACGCGTTCAAGATAGTTGTCCTCTCAGAGAAGAGGTCGTGTGCAGTAAGCGAAGTGCTTTGGACCCTAATAAGAATATCTGATTCATGGGCTAGTATGTGAAGCAGGTACAGTGCTCAGAGACTCTTTGGCCTGTGCTATTTTAAAGAATGTTTAATTTATACAGTAGCAGTGAAAAAAGGATCACAACCATGGTGTTAACATTTGGGTAGGGTATACAGATGAAACATACACACAACAACTTAATACAACAGATACTGATAAGTGATGAAGATGAATAAAGCCAGCTAAAGTGAGAGAATTTTGGTAAGTATGGTCCGCTCAGGCCAGGAGGGCTTCTGATGGTGAACTGACTGACGTGCCAAACAAGCCAGAATTCTAGGGGCAGTTAACCTTGGTTGCCAACATCTGAGTATCAGTAAATTTCAAGTGCGGATCAACTACTGGTTTTCCTAGGACGATTGGAAGACCTGGCAATGTTAGGTTCGAATTTTACATTCATTTGGAGCTAAGTCACTGTTGTGTCATTCAGATAGTTCTGGCCCCCTCCACTTAACCACAGTCCCCACCTCTTCCTTGTCTCACACCTACCTGACTTTGCTCATGTGTCACTACCTTCCAAGTTCCTCTAGGCATTTGAGTTGTGACCTCTGCTTTAGAAGGAAATACGTCATGTTGGATTAGGTTAAATTTTCCTCCAACAACTAACAGGCCAATCTGTCTCCTTATAAACTTAGATGTGCTTTTAATCTACTTTAAACAAATAACCATAGAGACTCTAAACACAGTAGATTAATCATATGTGCTAGTTGGCCTCTCAAAGCCCCACTGAAATAAGAGGAAAGCAATAAAGAAGGTATAAATGCAAGAGAATGGTAAAGGAGACATCAGTGGACGAGAGGGCACAATAACTTGGAAGATGGTAAGTGGATGGAGTATTGATAATTAAAATCAGCACAAAGAAAAAAAAACAAAATTCATCCTGTAGAACAACCTCAAGACTCAAGGCTGGGAGACACTAGGTAGAGCGGAAGTGAGACATGAGACAGGGTTGAAAAGCATGGACTTGGTTCAAAGCTGGAAAACGAAATGGTTGGAGCCCCAGAAACCCTCCCCACCCTGAGCAGACAGATGAGAACCCCTTGCTTAGGTAGAAGAATGGAGGTTTATTTTCTGAAAAAGTGAAACCATGAAAGTTAAGGCCCTCGGGACGGTGAGCATGATATGGTGGGCAGGGTGAGATGCAGGACTGAAAATGGTGATTAGGTACATCTCTGTTTATACTACAGTGGTCCTGGGTTCCCATTCCTTTACAACATCAGGACCAGAGGGCATGAAGATAGAAGGGAAAACTTATCTGATATTTGGCGATTTGGAAAATAATACTGATGATGGGTATCTGACAGATCTGAAGATGTATTACATAAAAAATAAGAATAGATAGATACTTTGGAAATTAAGCAAATAAAAAAGGAAGTTATTGATTCCAGGAAAGATAAAACCAAAAAAGAAAATGTAATTCTGATTCACTAGTTGGCTTTGTGGTGCATATAATGTCCAGTTCTCATAGAAATACTGATTATTGAGTTAACCTAAAATCGTAACGCAACTATTTGGGATGATTGGAAAAGACATGTATGTGTGGTAGGGACAGGGCAGAGGGGTGAATGTGCTATATTTCATTTCATCCAAAGCAAAGAAGTCATTTTAATATATAAAACTGATTTTTTTTAAAAAGTCACCCAAATAAAAGCATGACCTAAAAACATACATGCATAATTATTTGGAGACAAACTTGCCAAGGGAAAGAGGACAGGAGGATTGAATATGTGCCTAAATGTAGGTGGAAGTGTTACAAAGATGAACTTGGAGATTCTTAAAAGGAATGTAGGAAGGATGTGGAGATGTTTCAAGTACACATTGGGTTTTACAAGTGGAAGAAAATTCCATGTATTTGCTGTGAGGAGTGGCAAAACCATACTTAACCTGGAGTCAGAAACGAATGGGCAGTGAGCTGAAAAGGCCCAAATGTTGTGTCACAAAGCATGTTATCCGCAGGAGTGTCTCCTCTGCCCCTCTACCTGTTCACTCTTCAGAACATGTTCAGTGCACACTCTGCTTTCCAACCTCAGCAAATTCACAGCTGTTGCGATACTGTGAAATCAGAAAGGATGGTAGCGGCCACAAGGAAATGGACTAACAGCTACAAGAAATGTCTGCTGGCAGCCTGACCAAGGAAATAACCCCAAAGCACAGAGGGAGGCCCTTTAGCTTAGAGACCTATTCATTTAGGTATCACTAGTACAGCATAGTGTAATACCTAATGATTATGAAGGGTACGTTTAGCATATCCTAAGATGAAATCTTTTTATTTCAAATTCGTTCTTTAGGGTATATTGTCAATTTGAACACATTTTCCATGAAATGACATTTTAAGAGGCATTTGAGAATATTCCACTCAAAATAATCAATACCCCCCAAGTGCTTTGTTTTTGTTTAAAAGGGTAAAGTCCTTTGGAATATTTAGCTATCCAAAATGTCCTCTTTCCTGGAA